GTAAATGAGGGTTATTTTCCTATACGGATTCGGTGGTACAGGAAAAATATTTATTTGGAATACTCTTTCAGCATCTGTTAGATCAAAAGCTGAAATCGTACTTAATGTTGCTTCTAGCGGAATTGCTTCCCTTCTACTTCTTGGAAGACAAACAACACATTCTAGATTTCGTATTCCTATTCAAATCAATGAAGATTCAACGTGTAATATAAAGCCGAATTCTACTATAGTTGAGTTGTTGTCAAAAACAAAGTTAATCATTTGGGATGAAGCACCAATGGTACATAGATTTTGCTTAGAGGCTCTGGATAGAACACTTAAAGATGTTCTTAGATTTTTGATCGAAGGTGTGTTGATATGCCGTTTGGTGGAAAAGTTGTTGTTGTAGGAGGTGACTTTCAGCAAATATTACATGTCATTCCTCATGGCAACAGACAAGAGATAGTTCATGCAACCATAAATTCTTCTCATCTATGGTCCTAATGTCATTTATTAACTTTGACCAAAAACATGCGTCTTAATTCTGGAAGTAGCATTCATAATTTGAAGGAAATAAAAGATTTTTCTGAGTGGCTACTTAAAGTTGGGGATGGTGATCTTGGAGATAATGTTGACAAAGAATCTATTATAACAATTCCAGATGAATTATTGATTAGGGAATCAGAAGATCCGCTTTCGGATATGGTTAATTTTGTTTACCGAATCTCTTGGATAATATTTTAGATCAGACGTTCTTTAAAGAACGTGTTATTCTAACTCTTAAATTGTCCGATGTTGTTATGTTAAACGAACACCTAATGTCTATGATTCCTGGTGAAGAAAGGACATTTTTGAGTTCGGATAGAATTCTGAAGCAAGATGTGACTTCCTTCGTTGAGGATGATGAATTCACACCTGAGATCTTAAATACATTATCATGTTCGGGGATTCCTGATCATAAATTAACCTTGAAGGTTAAAGTTTCAATAATGCTATTAAGAAATATTGATCAGTCGAGAGGTTTATGCAATGGCACAAGATTGCTTATTACAAATTTGGGAAATCATGTTGTTGAGGCAATTGTTCTTACAAGAAGCAATATAGGAGAAACTGTGTTAATCCCTAGAATGACGATGAGCCCATCAAGTCATACATTTCCTATAATTTTTCAAAGAAGACAATTCCCCCTGATTGTTTCTTTTGCCATGACTATCAATAAGAGTCAAGGACAATCACTTTCTCATGTTGCAATTTATCTCCCTAAGCCTGTCTTCACTCATGGGCAATTATATGTGGCACTGTCTAGAGTAAAAGCAAGCATGGATTGAAGATATTGATAATTGATGAAAATGATTATGTTACAAATAGTACCCTTAATATAGTTTACAAGGAAAATTTCAAAGATTACTGTAGTATATTTGGTTCTGTCTACGAGGAGATAACATCGCTGTTTGGTACGGGTAAAGACAAAAAAACAAATTGTAAGGAAGTCGTTTTTTACTTATCTTCGTTGCCATTTGGTTTGACGTTCAGTCTTTTTTAACTACTGATTTTTCATTGTCATGCAGGATTCATATTTCATGCAGAATAGGTATATTGTTCACTGCTATTTTTGCACAAACAGTATTTCATGGTAATCAATATATTGATGTATTGTTATAACACTTTTGATTTGTACTCACACATTCATATTTTATTTTCCATACTTTCATTCATAGATCGTTTATCATTCATTTCTAAGAGGATGAAGAATCACAAGTGCATAGCGGATTGTGTTTTATAACTTTTGCAAGAATAGGTTAGGCATCTTTCTTATTACCTTCATGTCAAGCACAACATTTACATATTTTTTGTTCACATGTTGCGTTATTATATTTATTATGCTTGACTCTATTACAGACATGTCATACAAAAACGCTGTTACATGTTCTGACCATCTCTGGGAAATACTGAAAGAAGCTAAGTCGAACTTTGTAATTTTTGAATGACCACATGACAAGGCAAAATGTAGCAATATACTTGCATGTGTTGCGTTAGTTTTTACGAGACAAACAAACCAATTTTTTTTCTTCCGTGCATCGCACGAGTAATACACTAGTAAAGTTAATAAAGGGGAGTTTTATGATGGATTTAGGGATCGTCTCACGATTCTCACCCAAATGACAAAAAATAAATAATAAATAATAAAAAATAATAAATTATCAGTGATTATAAGTTATAGGAGATGTTATACTTATTATATCTTTTTCTTACTATCTCTTACTATCAAATCTTAATCGTTGATTTTTTTTTTCAATCTAACGATTATAATTTATTGGAAATTATGATCCAAAAATTTATAATCGTTGATTGACGGAAATCAACGATTAAGATTTAGTAGTAAAAAAAGAGAGATAATAACTATAACTTCCCCTTAAATTATAATAATAAATTATTTATAAAGAGTTATCAAAACGAAGTAACAAGAAAGATATTAAGGGGGTGTATTGGATTGAGATTTCAAAAGATTTTAATGGATTGTTTTTCGACAAAAAAATGCGTTGGCATTCGATTAGGATATTAATGGATTGAAAAAAAGTCACGTGATATTCAATTAGGATTTTAAGGGATTATTTTAGAATCCGTCCAAATCCGTTGGTATTCAATCGGGATTTTAAACAATGGAATCACAATCTCGTGGTATTCAAAAATCCGACAATTTTAAGGTATTTTCTATTGGTATGGATTTCGTGAGACTTTTTAGTGAAAAATATAAATAGGATGCCTCTCTCACAATCTTACCCTAATCCCTATAATTTCTTGATATTCTTCTATTGCAGTATTTTTTTTCTTCCTTTGACAGGTTGACTGCTCGAAATTGGGTTCCACCAGTGGCGGATCCATGAAATTAATGAAGGGTGGGCACTGTTCAAGTACATATAGATCTGGGTCTGGTCTGGAACGCGACTTGCGAGCAGGTGCCGGCTGGCTGGGTCTGATTTAGATCTAGATTTGGACAGATTGCGACTCAACTTGACCGATGATGGAGAAAGAAACAAATGTTCCAACTTCTAATAACAGAGATTGAGGTTTGAGAGGAGATGAATCAGTATGTAGATGCAAACGAGCTCTCTGCTGTTAGGTTTGAATAATGAAGGTGGAGGAAAAAAAAATTACGAGAAAATAATATAGAAGGATGGAAATTAAAGGGGTAATATTTCGTAACAATCAACTAGGGTTACCACCAATGTTACTACCAATCAATTTCACCGTTAGATCGATTATGTGGATCTAACAATTATATTTTTTTTCGTCTTGTATGGTTATGATCCCCATATTTAATGTAAAATCATTAAATATGGAAAATCATAATCATACAAAGGTGAAAATAAATATAAAGTATTAAATATGGAGAATCATAACCTTACAAAGATGGAAATAAATATAATCGTTGGATCAACATAATCGATCTAATGGTGAAATTAATTGATAGTAACCCTATTTGGTTGTTACAATATCCTATCCCAAAATTAAATTAGGAAAATTTAAATTTTAAGAGAAAAATATTTTTATATTTTTTCATCAAATTTTAAGGGTGGGCACTTGCCCCCTTTCTCTAACACTTGGATCTGCCTTTGAGTTCCGCCATGGGAGCTTCGTCAAAACTAAAAAAAGAGAACATATTTTTGAGCGATTTTCATCACAAAACAACCCAGAAACAACAAATCAACGAGATTTTAATATAATCTTTCTCAAAAATAACATATTTTTTAGCGATAAATTTTGAAAGTGAAAAAGTGATTTTTCAAGCTATAGTCGTGGTTTTTCTTGGCACAAAAACGTGTGATTTTTGTATTAAAAACAACATAAAACAGTGAAAAAATAACAGGGGAACTAAAAATCTCAAAACAATTTTCGTTGTACATCAATGAAAAAATAACAATTTAAAGAAAGATTGAAACTTTCATAATATGAACCCTATATTTCGTAACAATACATTCATGAACGAAAATTTTTCACTATAGGAAACTATTTCAAACAATTTTTGTGTCAATAGATAACTAAAAGCTTGTTTCTCAAAAGCCCTAAAGCAATTTAAGGTTTCAATGTATCGATTTAAAAAAATTTGAGAAATTTTCTAAACTCTCATATAATTAAATCCAAAATTTCAAATTCGAAATTTTCTTAGAATATTCAATGAAAATATGCATATGATATTGGGTTAGAAAACTCTTATCACGTAAAACAAAACCCCCAAGATTTTAAAGATTAATTGCAAAAAATTCCAACCGAAATTTTATCATGAACTTTAGGTTCTATATGCAAATTTAGAATTATTTTTAGAATTTAAAAAAATTGGATCTTATAATCATATATTCGTAGTATTGATATCAAATGAAGAAGATAATTTTTAACCCATTAGATATGTGAAAAACTATTGTTTAGTAATTTTGAATGTTTATTAAAAATTATATTATATTTTACTGATTGAGAAAATTATATTATGTTTTACTTTTTTTATTAATTTCATTGTATTTCTTTGTTATTTTTTTTTTGGGGAAGATTATACTTACAACATATTTTTGTTTACAACCATATCTTAACCATTGATTTCCGTCAACCAACGATTATTATTTTCACAAATCAAACTCATTAATTAATATTTAATTTACAATGAATGTTAATCGTTGATTGACGAAAATTAATGGTTAAGATATGGTTATAAAATGTTGTAAATAAAAATAGGTTGTAAGTATAACCTTTCCCATATAATTTTGAATGTTTGTTAAAAATTTCTATAATTTTTTAAAATCTTATAAATTCATATTGTCCTTTCAAAATTTATAAATTCTATTAAAACTCTTCAAAATCCAATCTTATGAAATCTTGACGGTAAAAAAAATCTTTTAAAAAAATCTTTAAATATCTCCAATTTTAAATAATCTTTTAAAATCCATAAAAAAATTTAACCAACAAAATTCTTTTAAAATCTTAATTCAATAGACCCAAGTTTAGTTTCACGGCACTCCTCCTTCACACTCGTGCTCCTCAGTAAGAAGGAAAAAGCTCCCGCTTCCACCATTTCCTTGGCATCACTTTGACCTAATTCAACTGAGAAAGATATTAAGGTTGTTGTTGGAGCTATCTTCTGTAGTTGAAGATGGAGGAACACAAAAATGGCACAAATGCATCCGAAGACGAGGCGGTGATAGGACCGGGTCCTGCACCACGTGCTCGACGCAAGCGACCTCTCCAGTTCGAGCAGGCCTACCTCGACGCCTTACCCTCCGCTAACATGTCAGTTACTGCGCCTAACCTCTCTCAGAGAGAGAATAGTTTTGGAATTAGGGTTTCATTTCTATCAGTAGCTCTCTCTAAAGCTGAATCAGAATATTGGCGAATGTGTATGAAATATGAAAGACATTATATTGGTCATTTTCTTATTATTGGTTTTCCTTTTACAGGTACGAGAAGAGTTATATGCATCGTGATGTTGTTACACATGTCGCTGTTTCGGCTGCAGAATTTTTCATTACCGGAAGTGCTGATGGTAAAAACAAGTTCTGATTATTTCCGTTGTTATCGTATGCTTCACAAATTACACTAACTAAAATTAGTTCTTATTTATGAAAATTTTTGCTAGTTGTAAGTGTGCAGAGAACTTTAAGCAACAAATTTTAATGTAGTGATCAATCCTATTAGCTGTTACCTTTACTTTTGTTTGTATTTTTTGTATTCCATGCGATTTAGCATATGTAAAGCACCAACACAGGTGCGATATTAGTTTTTGTTTTTTAATTTTTTTTTCGGTAGCACCTGGGTTATATTTAATAATATAAAATTAGCTAAGTCTTTGGAATGATAATATGGCTTATGTCCATGTGGGTGGCTTACTTGTTGTTGTCAGGACATTTGAAGTTTTGGAAGAAAAAGCCTATTGGTATTGAGTTTGCGAAACACTTCAGATCTCATCTTGGTCCAATTGAAGGTCTATCTGTAAGTTCATTAACCTGGCATAACCATTTTACATATAAAATCTTATGTAATTTGAATGGTTCTTTCTTGCTTCAATTCTCTTATATGTGATATTATGACTCTGTATAGTCTCATTTGCTGGGCATGGAAAGAATGCTAGTGATATGTTTATATATACTGAAAATTTCCCCTTGATGTATTGTGTATTTTAAGTTTTCAAAATCATTTTGTTATACTGGTCATCAACCATGACTTATTTGAGCTATGCAGGTTAGTATTGATGGCCTGCTTTGCTGTACAATATCAAATGACCGTTCTGTGAAAGTATATGACGTAGTCAACTATGACATGATGGTCATGATTCGCTTGCCATATGTTCCTGGTGCCGTTGAATGGGTTTACAATCAAGGGGATGTCAAAGCTAGGGTCGCCATTAGTGATAGGAACTCATCTTTTGTGCACATATATGATGCACGAGCTGGTTCAAATGATCCTATCATCTCCAAAGAGGTGCCAATTCTAAACTAAACTCTAATATAACTGACTTCAAAATGCATATATTTTTTTCGTGTGGTATTTCCACAACTCATTTACATAATTGTATCATTCCTTGCTCCTTTTTTTCAGATACATATGGGTCCTATTAAAGTTATGAAGTACAATCCTGTATATGATTCTGTAATTTCGGCAGATACAAAGGGGATCATTGAATATTGGAGCCCTACTACACTTCAATTCCCGGAGAATGAGTATGTTCTTATTTTTGTCATATTATACTTCTATCTTATTGTCAAAGGGGGCGAACATGGAATAGTGGTAAAATTGCTCCTTTACGACCGAAAGGTCACGAGTTCGAATCCGGAATACAACTTCTTTGTAAATATGCGAGGGTAAGGTTGAGTACAAGGATTGCTTTTACCTTATTCTTGTTAGTCGGGGTTCAATGAGGAGTGGTTTATAATTCTGTCCAGTTAAAGGCTAGCCTTGGATTAGCGGTAAGGTTGCTCCTTTGTGACCGGAAGGTTATGAATTTGAGTCTAAGAAATAGCCTTCTTGCAAAAATGTAAGAATAAGACTGTGTACAATCGACTCTCACCTCTACTCTCCCAAAGTCGGGAAGCCTTGTGTGTTGGGATTTGTCCTTTATAATTCTGCCTCAACCATTTTATATAACTGACTTATCAGGGTTCAAATACTTACGGCTGCCTGTCCACATAGTTCCTTGTCCCTTGACAAATATGTCAAAATATGTACAAATTAAAAAATTTGGGTAGCCAAACCACTTGTTGATGCTCCACTCCTTTATTGTTGTGCTAAATGAGTTAAGATAATTTAAAACCAGATAATTATGAAGTCTGCATTTAGCATTTTAATTTGTTTTCATATAAAAAAAAAATTGTCCTCAATTCTCACTGAATCTATCTAAACACTAGGTGCAATTGCCAATAGTATGATCAGGATTATCTAATATAAAATATTAATAGTTTTAGGTGGGTTTGAAAAAAGATTACTATAAATATTGTATAGCATTCTTATTTGAGCGCTATTGACAGGACTTCTGGATGTAGATGTGGATCTGTTCAATTTAAAGTGGAATTGTATGTTTAATTTAGGAAATTAGGATTTGATTCCAAATGTTCCAATATAGGAAGTTTGACTTGAATACTGTCAGACCAAACTCATTTGCTGTTCTACTTCTGTCTTATGTCGTGTTATAGCCTCCTGCTTGGTTGTCAGTAGTGCGGTGTAGCGTTGTAGACGCCTCAGGCCCCTACAGGACTTCCATCACATCAAGTTTTTCAGTTGCGGCTGCTCTTTTAGCAAATCTCGGCCATCCTATACAGGGGAAAACACCCATATTTTGCCGTCTTCTGAGTTATTGAATCCATTTGTTTTGGGTATTTTCGTGATTTACCCTCTTTACATTAGAAACATATAGGGTTTCTTTTGCAATGCAAAGTACATGAATCGTGACCTCTGTTCCAACAAAAAAAAATGAGGTTTGACCTCTGTTTTGTTTCCGGAAAATGACCCCACTCTATGGCATCATGTCCAGCCAACCGCGGTGTTTTCTGACAGACGCACTGCCCTTTGCAGTCCAGATCTCTGTTCACACAAATCTATGTTCTTCCTTTGGTCTCTGTTCTAGTATCACAGCACACTTCCTTTGATCTCTGACTCCATTCACGTCCATAGCTTGCAGGTCTTTTTTTATTTATATTTTTTTTTCTGTGTTTTGTCCTTCATATTTCACGGTTCATTTTCCCCTAATTTGTCTCTGATCTTTTTTATTTCCAACTCCTTTGGTCTCTGTTCACGTATCTAATGTTTTCTGTTTTTGCGAATTAATTCCATCTCTGTTGACTTCATTCCTATTAATTATGAATATGTCTTAAATTTTGAGTAATTTTTTATTTTTAAGTATTTATATATGTATAGTATAATTTTTTTTATCTTGTATTATGAATATATCTTTGGTATAGCAGTCATATAACTATGGCATACTTGCAGGCAGGCACCATTGGTAACTTGGCTACTGATCTAAGGCTTTTGGGTTGGGCCAGCAACAAACTGCTATTAGATATAGCATGATCAACTTGAATCAATATTATAATCAGCAAGCCATGAAGTGCCGAAATATTTTTAACATTGTGCTGTTATACATTATTGCTGTATTAGTTATTTTTTGATTGTATAAAACTGTTCTGGAAATTCCTAGTTGCACGAGTTTTAGACATCTGAATTTTTTGTAGTTATGAATGCACTTTAATCCTTTTCCTTTTTGTGCTTGTAGGGTTAATTTTAAACTGAAAAGTGATACAAACCTCTTTGAAATAGTAAAATGCAAGACTTCTGTTTCAGCTATTGAGGTGCCTCACTTTTCTATACACACTTCCAAACTTAAAGCTGATTACTTAATATTATATTATTTAGGTGGTTTATGAAAGCTAGATCCTGTGGTTTGACTTAGATGGTATTTATTAAGTGTATAATGTACTGCATTGTGTTTTAGGTCAGCCCAGATGGTAACCAATTTTCTATTACATCACCTGACCGTAGGATACGTGTGTTTTGGTTCAGAACGGGTAAACTAAGGCGAGTTTATGATGAATCCCTGGAGGTAACAGTTTTACCATAATTTCACCCTTGTTGCTTTTTGGACATTTAATGGTAAATGAACTGCTTTATTGCTAGGTTGCTCAAGATCTCCAAAGAAGTGATGCTCCGTTATACCGGTTGGAAGCCATTGACTTTGGTCGAAGAATGGCTGTTGAGAAGGAAATAGAGAAGACCGAAAGTGCTCCACTTCCGAATGCTGTTTTTGATGAAAGTTCTAATTTTCTTATATATGCAACCTTGCTTGGGATTAAAGTGAGAATTTTTTCTTAATTAACTTTTTCTTAATTAACTGGGTTATAATCACTTCACCTCCATGTCTATAACTTTTCGTTCATTGCTTACTAGTGCAAGGAGGTGATGACTGGATAGAACTTCATTCCCTAATGTGTTTACATTTGTATGCTTACAGATTGTTAATTTGCACACCAACAAAGTTGCTCGAATACTTGGAAAGGTGGAGAATAATGATAGATTCTTAAGATTAGCTTTGTATCGAGGTGATCGGAGTAGCAAAAAAGTAAGAAAGATTCCTTCAGCAGCTGCAAATGCCAACGAGAGCAAGGAGCCTTTGACTGATCCCACTCTTCTGTGTTGTGCCTTCAAAAAGCACAGGATATATTTATTCAGGTATGAAAGTAAAAACTCTACTGATCATTTTACCACTGTCTCAAACTCCGAAGTTACGTAGTCTTGTTATTTAATAATATCATATGTGGGGAATTTGATCCATAGCATTCTTCCTCAGTCATTGACGTTGTACCATTTTGTTTAATCGCATGTCATTTCTGACATGAAAATATAAATTTTCATTGTATGAAGTATTTAAGTCTTGGAGTTTGTCATGTATCAGTCGGAGAGAGCCAGAAGAGCCAGAAGATGCAACTAAGGGGAGAGATGTGTTCAATGAAAAGCCTCCTGCTGATGAACTTTTGGCAGTTTCAGATATTGGAAAGGCAGTTACCACATCTCTTCCTGACAATGTGGTGAGTTATCCTTGTTAGCCTTTAAAGTAGGTTATACTGACTTGCAATTAAATTCAGGGGAGCTTTCACTTTAATTAATGTATCTCACATGCAAAAAAAGTTGTCTAGAAATAACATACCTCATAAATGTAGAAATATTTGTATCACCTCTATGTTCTACTATTTAAGTAATTATCCAATAACAGAGAGGAAATATCGTTCTTTACATGAGATTAGGTCTTCTCTATATATTAATTTTGTTTTCAAATCACATCCTTACCTCTTGCTCCCACAAAAAATAGCTTTGCAATTCAATTCTTCTTTTGCAGATTCTACACACAACTATGGGTGATATTCACATGAAATTATACCCAGAGGAATGTCCAAAAACTGTGGAGAACTTCACAACTCACTGCCGAAATGGCTATTATGACAATCTTATTTTTCATCGGGTCATCAAAGGCTTCATGGTACAAACAGGAGATCCTTTAGGAGATGGCACTGGCGGGCAATCTATTTGGGGGAGGGAATTTGAGGATGAATTTCACAAAAGGTAATCAATTTGTTAATAAAAGTTCTATCTTATAATATGCATGAAATATAATCATGATTTCAGACTCGGGAGTAACGATTACCTTTGGGTTAGCCTGTGTGTCTTGTGTGCCGATGGCATATGGGGAACTTCCTGGCATGGTTTACCTCGGATGGAACTGAGAGCAAATCATTTTTCTCTTGCAGCTTAAGGCATGATAGGCCTTTCACAGTGTCAATGGCAAATGCGGGCCCAAATACAAATGGTTCTCAGTTCTTTATCACCACAGTGGCTACTCCGTGGTTAGACAACAAGCATACTGTATTTGGTAGAGTTGTGAAGGGAATGGATGTTGTACAGGTAAATTATTATTGCATAATCATTATCTGATGAACCTAGAAAAACAGAATGTATTGAATTAATATTATGGAGGCCAAGCTCCTTACATATCTCCAGAATTCAAAGTTCAATTCAACCAACACAAATTAAAGAAATTTGTATCTAACAACATTGACAGAAAGAAACACAGATTTCCCGGGAGATGTAGACCTCCAGAATCTCAATTTCCCATTTACAACGTCACTCTGATCTACATACCCCCCTCTCTCCCTCTTCTTTTTATTCCTTACCCAATCTGTTATGCACCTTTTCCCCCCTCCGTACTCCTAACCTGCCACATATCTCCTTTGCTACCTAACTCTCCCGTAGCTAGATCTTACTCCTTTACCTTCTAACTGCCTCAGGTCTTCCCTTTTGTCTTTCTTCTGTTGTACACCCATTTAAAGGGCTCACCATTATCATTTAGTACATACATATATCCGAAGTCCCATTGTATCTTTCGGAATTGCTTGCATTTGCTCTTGCATATTCACTTGCCAACTAATTTCGATCATTTCATGTGAGCTGTTGTATCACCTGATCACATGTCTTTTTCAAATTGGTCCTTTCCTAGATCACGTCTTATATTTTAAGTTTTCATCTATGATATATTCATATTGACATTTTTTTTTCAGGTCTTGTTGATTAATGTTTGTGAACTTTCTATCTTGGAAAACTAATCTAGAACTTTGATGTCGGCAGGCTATAGAAAAAGTGAAGACAGACAAGACAGATAAGCCGTATCAAGATGTTAAAATTCTAAATGTCACTGTACCCAAGTCCTGAATGTCATTGGTCTGCATGACTGATGCAGTCAGTCATCAATACTGGTGATAGGTGGCTGAAGAAGTTTAAGGTAGTGTTTGGTTCGGAAGAAATTTTTTTTTACTAGGGAAATGTAATTGATAGGGAAATGGTTGGAAAGTGAGTTTGGTAGGAAAATGTAAAAAAAGTTATTTGGTTGACCGAAATATTATCAGGGAAATTTATTTAAATATGCAAAATTTATATTCTGGAGAAACTTTGCACTTATTTTTTCACTTTTCTAGTTATCTTAAAATACCACATCTCAAGTGGTATTCTGTAACAGTGAATTTCATCCAAAAATCAACATAAAAGTTATTTTTTCATCTATCCTATTTGCCTAATATTTTTTGAAAAAACCTGAACTAAACATGGTATTTTTCAATATTCACTTACACTTTTTCATCAATCCCAAAATAAACCTTCAACCAAACACTATCTAAGTGTAATTAGTCAACCTTGAGCTTCATAGGTTTCATATGAACAGTGGCAATTATTGTTCACGTACAACGCTAATTATAGGATTAATCCACATAAATTTTTCTTACACATAAATTTAAGCCAAAAATTTCTTTCAATGATTTTTTTTCTATTCCACATAAATTCAAGGATCAATCCAGGACCAGACGCCGAAGCCATCCCAGTTGCTTCCTCTGATACTAATACACGTTTGGAAATCGCAACTCCCAAACCAAAATTCGGTAATTAGATGAGGAAAATTAGAACCATTGAAAAGTCACCTTCAGTTCATACCAAAATTTTTTTACCGCAAGTTTGAACTACTATAATGCAAACGGGGGAGAAAAAAGGAGCATTTTGATATGTAGCCCCTCATCTGGCAGTCAAAACAAATTGCAAAAGACTTACTAGCCTTATTTTGAAGGGGTCATTCTCCTCCTCTTTCTCTAAAATGAGATTTTTAAACTTTCATAATAGAAAATCTCTTATTCTTTGCACCAGCTCACCTCAATACATGTCTTGGAGGTGTGCTTGCTTCCCGCTCAACAAAGAGACCCACTAAACAAAACAATTATAGCTTTCTCTCATGATTACGAAATATTTTCTCCCTCTTCAGCCATTGAAAAGACATCTTGTATTTACAATTTCATGAGCTGTTACTTCGGAAAATTCAAGGGCCACAATGCCCTTTCACCATCACCCTCTCGTAGCCTTTGCTTGGATAGTCACAGTGACTCCTCCATAGTGCTTTGGTCCATACCAAAGCATCTAAGAACACTATTACATTGAGATACTTCACCTTATCCAAGATAACAAACCTAAACTCTTCATTCAAAATACCTCCATGATGATGAAATTAATAACTATTTGACCCATAACTCTGAGGAATAACTACCAAAGACGTGTTAATCTTCTCGGTAGAACCTATAAATGAATATATTTTGTTAAATAACAAGAGAAAAGAGAGGAACATTTGAAATATTTCTGTGTGTATTTAACGAATGAGGGATGTACAATATATAAGCAAACTACTGGGCTAAGCTCAAACCTAATGTAATCTGACCTAATACAAAATAAGAAAACTCTAATTACAAAATAAGGAAAACCTAATTACAATATTTCTAACACTCCCCCTCAAGCTGGAGCGTATAGGTCATATGCACCAAGCTTGTTACATATAAACTCTATTCGAGGGCCCCTCAAAGATTTTGTAAACACATCTGCTAATTGCTCATTAGAGGGTACAAAGCTAGTTTTAATTTCACCAGCAAGAACCTTTTCTCGAATAAAATGACAATCTATTTCTATATGCTTGGTTCTTTCATGAAACACTGGATTTGATGAAATGTGAAGAGCTGCTTGATTATCACAAATGAGAGTTGCATGTCCAGTGTCTCCAAACTTAAGCTCTTTGAGAAGCTGTTTAAGCCAGATGAGCTCTCAAATAGTAGTCGCCATGGAGCGGTATTCTGCTTCAGCACTTGACCTGGCAACTACGCTTTGTTTCTTGCTCTTCCAGGAAATCAAGTTGCCTCCAACAAAGACACAGTACCCGGAAGTAGATCTCCTATCAGCTGGACAACCAGCCCAATCAACATCACAATACCCAACCATTTTATCATGACCTTTATCTTCATATTCAAGGCCTTTTTCCTGAAGATGTCTTAATATACTTAAAAATACGAATGACTGCATTCCAATGTTCTTGACATGGAGAATTGAGAAATTGACTGACAACACTAATTGCAAAGGAAATATCAGGCCGAGTGACTGTGAGGTAGTTCAATTTTCCAACCAATCTTCCATACTGCTCAGGATCTGAAAAGGGCTCCCCCTGATTTGGTAGAAGCTTGATACTTGGATCCATAGGAGTATCAACAGATTTTGAATTTAACAGAGCAGTTTCTTCAAGAATATCCAGAGCATATTTCCTCTGAGATATTACAACACCAGTTTTAGATTGGGCCACCTCGATTCCTAAGAAGTATCGAAGTTTCCCAAGATCCTTAATCTGAAAGTGATGACATAAGTGTTGTTTCAATCGAGTGATCTCATGCCGATCACTGCCTGTGATGACAATATCATCCACATATACCACCAGATAAATAGATCCAGAAGCAGAATGTCGATAAAAAAGAAAATGATCAGCTGCACTCCGAGACATGCCAAATTGTTGAACAACACTGCTAAATTTTCCAAACCATGCTCTTGGAGATTGTTTGAGGCCATAGAGAGACTTCCGAAGACGACAAACAAGACCTGACTCCCCCTGAGCAACAAATCCAGGAGGTTGCTCCATATAAATTTCTTCCTCAAGATCACCATGAAGAAAAACATTCTTGATATCCAGTTGGTAGAGAGGCCAATGGCGAATAGCAGCCATAACAATAAAAAGGCGGACAGTAGACATTTTCTCTACAGGAGAAAAAGTATCAATGAAATCCAAGCCAAAGACCTGAGTAAAACCCTTCGCCACCAAGCGAGCTTTAAGACGATCCACTTGACCATCAGGTCCAACCTTAACAGCATAAATCCATCTGCAACCAACAACAGATTTTCCAGAAGGAAGAGGCACCAGATCCCATGTGCCATTATGATGAAGAGCACTCATCTCATCAATCATAGCTTGTCTCCATCCCGAATGTGAAAGTGCATCACCTGTAGTCTTAGGAACAGAGACAGAGGACAAAGAGGAGAGGCAAGCAACATATGATGGAGAAAGACGATGATAACTAATATTGACTGTAAACCTGGCCGGAGGGCGAGTATCACGAGTACCCTTCCGAAGAGCAATGAGAAGGTCACTATCCAAAGGTGGGACCGAAGCCGTGGGAGGAGATGCAGGTGAATGTGAGTCCACAGAGACATCTGACGAACTATGCTCGATCTCATCAGCAGAAGAGGTGATAGAAGGAGAGTCAGGAACATGGACAGGTAAAGGCGGAAGGTAAAGAAGACATGGGAAGGATGACAGCACAGGAGTAGTAGATGGTCGAAAAAAGGGAACTGATTCAAAGAAGGAGACATCCGCCGAGATAAAGTACCGACGTAAAGTGGGAGAGTAGCAACGGTAACCCTTCTGAGACCGAGGATAACCCAGAAAAACACATTTATGAGAATTGGGAGCCAATTTATCCAAACCTGGACCAAGATGATGAACAAAACACGTAGAACCAAACATATGTGGAGTTAAAGGATACAAAGTCTGATGGGGGAATAAAATAGAGTGAGGTACCTTATGATTGAGAACATATGATGGCATGCGATTAATGAGATAGCATGCAGTAAGTATAGCATCACCCCAGAATGTGTATGGAACATTACCATCAATTAACAAGGCACAAGTGGTTTCAACCAGATGGCGATTCTTGCGCTCAGCTACACCATTTTGTTGAGGTGTATGAGGGCAAGATGTTTGATGAAGAATGCCATGAGATGAAAAGAATTGTTGAAATTGATGAGATAAGTATTCACATGCATTATCACTACGAAAAGTACGAATAGGAATACCAAACTGAGTTTTTATTTCATTATAAAATAACTGGAAAATAGAAAACAAATCAGATCTTTTTTTCATTAAAAATAACCAAGTACATCGGGAATAATCATCAATAAAAGTAACAAAGTACTTAAAACCCAAAGTAGAAGAATGACGACTTGGTCCCCAAACATCAGAGTGGACCACAGAAAAAGGAGAAACAGCTTGACGACTAAGACGACTTGGAAACGCACTACGAGTATGTTTCCCAAACTGACAAGACTCACAATTTAAAGTAGAAAGAGACGATAAATGGGAAACCATCTTCTGAAGCTTTGCAAGACTCGGATGACCCAGACGAGTATGGATAGTAAGAGGAGAATCCACAGTGGAGCAGGCTGAAGAAGAAGGAACTAGTTGATAGAGGCCTTGAGACTCACATCCTTTGGTAATCTCCTTCCCCGAACTTCGATCCTGAAAGATGACAGAGGTTTTAGTAAAAGAAACAACACAGTCAATGGATTTGGTCAAACGACTAACATAAAGTAAGTTAAAAGGAGAATCGGGCACATATAGAACATGATCCAGAGATAAATTGGGTAAAAGAAGAACTGTGCCAATCCCCTTTGATTGGACCAGAGACCCATTGGCCATAGTAATTGTGGGAAAAGAACCAGTAGTACAAAGAGAAGTGAATAAGGACTTATTACCAGAAATGTGATCATAAGCCCCAGAATCAAGAGTCCAAGGGCCTATAGAGTGCAACTGAGAAATGTCAGCAAAAGAATTACCAGAGGGAGCAATGGATGCAGTAGGACCTGATGATTGCTTTTCAGACCACCAAGTCGCAAATTCATTCAGAAGAGCAGCTGGAGGTTGTGCACTGGAAGGTAACTCTGGAGCAGAGGTACTAGAGAAAGCCTGAGCAACATGAGAATTCCGAGAAGGTGGAGGTGGCCTGCCATGAAGCTTCCAACAACGATCAACAGTATGATTGGTCTGATGACAATGAGTGCATAAGAGCTTGCCTTTAGAGAATCGACGTCCACGACCATATCCTTGAACAACAAAAGCAGAGGGGTCAACAGAATCGTCTCGACGTCCACGACCATATCCTTGACCAGCAAAAGCGGAAGAGTCAACAGAGTCTTCTCTACGTCCACGACCATACCTTTGAGCAGCAAGGGCGGAAGAGTCAACAGAATGCGCTGGGGGTATATGCATCATAGGAGGTGCTGATGATGTAGAGGGCTTAGAGGGAATTCTAAGCAAGGTAGACATCACAGAATCCAGTGTAGGAACTGTAGCAGATCCCAAAATTTGATCCTGATTGGCAGACAAATGATCAGGCAAACCATATAAAATGAACAGCATAAACAATGTATTACGTTGTTCCTGTTCCTTAGCAACATCACCAGTGAGAGGCAAAAGTTCAATAAGATCATGGAGTAGACTCTGAGCTTTCCCCAAATATTCAGTCATAGGACAATTAAAGTCCCGAAGAGCAAAGGTAGTCATCAATTTCTGACACACACCATAGAGTCTCTGAGTATCATTGGTGTACAGTGCCTTTGCCTGACTCCAAATAGCTTCACAGGTAACAGCAAGTCGAAAAATCTGTTTGATAGACGGATGAAGAGTAGCTTTAATGAGACTACACAACTGAGCATCAATCATCTTCCATCGTGTGCGCTCATTTTCCGCCACAGATTCAGCCTTAGTGGTGAGATGGGATGTGTAATTCTGCCCATCCAACCATAGTCGCAGATCGGAAGACCAAGTATCATAATTGGACCCATCCAATTTATCCACACTCAACGGAGCAAGGATATAATTTGAGAAAATAGTAGACTCCGACTTTTGTCCTGCCGGAGTCCCAGAAATAGAAACATTGGAGACAGGAGTGTCCATAATAAAAAAAAGTAGAAAGCACAGGTCAAAAACTAACCAGTAGAAGAGGGATCTGTGCGTCAACACAAAAAGAGGTCCAAACACCAAAACAAGACCAGATCCAGAACCTACACACCGAGACGAGAAGATCGCAACCAGCCGCGGCCGGAGAGGAGCTGCCACGCGCCGCCAGAGTGGAGGAGAGTGGCCAAGCTTCAACGCGCGCGTGTGGCCTTAAAACTGGATGAGACCTGTGGCGTTGGAACCGTGCGGCAAAGACGATCACGGCGGTATGTGGATCGTCGGAAACGGTGACCGGACGGTGGTTCTGGACGAGACAGAAGCTGTATGCGGAGAGAAAAGCGTCCGGAAACTGACAATGAGACAGCTTCGGAAAAAAAATAAACGACGATGAACAATGGGTTCACCGAAATTTTTTTTTTTAAAAGTTCCTTAGGCTCTTGATACCATGTTAAATAACAAGAGAAAAGAGAGGAACATTTGAAATATTTCTGTGTGTATTTAACGAATGAGGGATGTACAATATATAAGCAAACTAATGGGCTAAGCCCAAACCTAATGTAATCTGACCTAATACAAAATAAAGAAACCCTAATTACAAAATAAGAAAAACCTAATTACAATATTTCTAACATATTTCGTAGTTATCAAGAGAACCAATGGCAATGGATAAGGGACAATAGCCACTAGTCTTGTAACAGTAAGACTGAAATGTATAAAATTAACCAACCAATAGGACAAGCAAATTAAATTCAAACCATCATTAAATTATATCACACAGTTTGATGCCATTACATTCTCAATTGAAAAAGCAAAACCCATAAAACCTAATACAATATGTAGCTCAAGTAACAAAAACCTTGTGATTCGGCTATCTAAAACTCTAACTGGAACTGCAAATTTCTGACACGTAACACTTCAGACCTTTTAGTCGAATAAACTGAAACCCATATCCTGTAGAACAAAGATGAGATATACAATTATTAGCAGAGAGTCGTGTGAATTTACTAAGTAACAATCAATAGTGCTTCAATTTTGAAACTTACATCGTCAGACTCTTCTTTCTCTTCTACCTTCTTTTCCTCCTTTGCTTCAGCAGCAGGTGCTGCGCCACCAGCTGCAGCACCTCCCACAGGAGCAGCAGCAGCAGCAACTGCGCCGCCACCACCGGAAGGTACTGAAGCCAACTTCTCTCTTCCGCTAGCAATTAGCTCAGCAATATCTTTGCCCTCGACTTCAGTTAAGAGCAACTCGATCTTCTCATCCTCAGCCTCAGCTCCAACTATTAATCATAAACAAAAAAGAATTCACTCCAGACAATTCAAAATTCAATGTTGCACTCGCTTCATGATGGAGGTTTCCTATACTCATAAACCAAAAAAATAATCATAAAATTATATTAAAAAAAAGAGGTTATATTTTTGTATTACAACCATTTTCATTATCATTGAACGGTAAAATGGCAACAAGTAAGAGCTGTTGATTTGACCTTAATCCAAACATAACAAAGTGGTTATAAAAAGTTGTAAATACTAACTCTCCCTATATATATATATATATATATATATATATTTCCTCCTAAAAAGCTACACAATAACAGATCAAGGGGAAAATCCATGCGTAATTTACAGGATAAAAATGAAGCCAAACCTTATTCAATTATGGTCCACGAAAAATTCAGTTTCAATATTTCCAAGCTACATAGACAACATACATATTTAACTACATCTCATATTTTAAATTATTGATTTTTATTTATCTGATCATCAATTCTACATATCCCAAACTTATATTAACATTAAAAAAAAAAAAAACAGATACTTTGTCCTTACATTCTAGGATATAATGCAAAGAAGGTGCTATAACAGCTGAGTATTAAGAAGCCAGTTCAGAAATCTAATGTAGAAAACTACTAATACCTCAACGATTCACCCAGAAAACATAAGTGATTGATTAAAATACACACACACAAAAAAAGGAAAAAAAAAGGAAAAAGAAAAAAACCTCTACCAGATTAGAAATAACAAGAAAGTTAAGCAGAAATTGGGATTACTCACCCGATCCCAGGATGTTTTTGAGATCATCCGCTGAAGGAGATGAATTCCCTCCCAATACTGCCAACAAATAAGCAGCTATGACCTTCATATCTGACTCCAAAATCAGCTAACAACAATAGTTAGTAACACAAATCAACAACACGTGAAAATGAAATTAGTTGTGAGAGAACGAAAGCATACTTGCTGGATGTGATAAAGGACAGCGATTTTAATTTTGATTTTGTTATTAGGGTTTCCACTGAGAATGGTACTCTGATATAACTAGGGTTTTCAGCACTTCGTACTTAATCTTTTTGGATTTTCAATAATACCCCTCATCGTGTTTATTTCATTGCTGGTAGTGAGAGCAAATATTTTGAGAGTATAAAGTTACATTAGTGATAGAGCTCCTAATATGGGTTCAGTTCCGGCTAACCAATCTCACTTGGGTGAGTTAAAATGGAGTCGGTTGAGTTTTTTTTATTATGTAGTATTTTATTTCTCACTAACTTTTTGTAATATAATTTTTTTTTATCTTACTACTCCAAAAAAAAAAAAAAAAAAAAGAAAGAAAAAAATTTATTTATGACAAAGGTTATCTCTTTATGACAAATGTTATCTATTTATGAAAGTAAAAATAAGTTCCTCGAAAAATATTTGACTAATTATTAATATACATTTAAACTTGAGATTGGAAAAAAAACTAAGTGGAGTGAGAAATAAAAATAAAGACTATTATAAAATTAATAAAATATTTTTTTTTATTTTTTATTTTTTAAACGAGTTGACCCGTCAACCCACTATAAAAACGGGCTGGGTTGGACTTTTTAACCCATATTCAAAAGACAGGGCGGGACGGGTCAACCCATATCTTGTAAGTATTTTTTTTCCTCATTATGTAATATAATAGGCAAATATTTTTTTTAAAATATTGCATTTTAAATAAATAAATACAAAATTGTAGCAATTTGAAATGTATTTACCAATGTTTAGCAACCAGTTGCGCCCAAATTGAGACACAACTGGTGGTGCCCAAAAACAAGTGCAAATGGGGATCAGTTGCGCTCTACTTTGGATGTAATTGGTCGCACTCAAAAGCATATGCGTATGAGGCTAGGTCGGGCCCAAATTTAGGTGTATTTGGGGGTGAATCGCGCCCAAAAATAGGTGTGATCAGCCATCTACATATATACCCCTACTTCACTTTCTCATTTCACTCCATCTCTCTAACCTCTTTAGGATTTTGCTATGACTTCTCTCAAGAAGTCTCTTTGACACCCCTCTAAGTTTTTTGCATGTCGAAGCTCTATTATTCAAGCTAGTCTTAATATTTGCTTTCTATAGTTTAAATTACAACAAGAGATATGCAATAATAGTGATTTAGGATATGATTAGTGACTTATTTTTTGAATAGTGACCTAGGATGTTGTTAGAGACTTATTTTATGAATAGTGACCTAGGATATGATTAGTGACTTATAACATGTTAAGTGGCTAGAAAAATGATTAGTGACTTAGGTCATGATTAGTGACTTATTATATGCTTCGTGATTTTATTCATATTTAATAATTTTATTAAGCTTAGTGACTTATAATATGCCTACTGATTTTGTTCTTAGTTTGTAAATTTTATAATGCCAGGTGACTTAGGACATACTTAATAAATTTTATTATGCTTAGTGATTTTGCCTTAAAAATAATGATTTATGAATATTTAATATAATATATTTTATATTTTACATTATCATGACTTTTACAATGTTCAATATATTTTGTATTAGGGATTTTAAATATATTTAATTAAATGAATTGTAATTGCATTTTTTACAGTACAAACATTAAGAATTTAATAATAATAATTTATATTAGGGTTATGGCTAACTCTTTACCGTCTGAGTCTCCTCGATCTTCTGCACACGGTGGATCTGATGCTAAGACAGGCGATCCGTAAGCGACGCACACAACGCTGACACATTTCGCAGGCAATGTGGAATGAGGGGACTTACTCAGATTGGATTTATACATGTCGTGCGCATACAACATAATGACTTTTAAATTATATATATTATATTGTGTTGTAATTTAGTAATTGTAAATTGCTAAATTTGACACTATTTGATAAAAAAATTTATACTTTTTAGATTTATGCTAGCCACATTAGTGCTCTGGTTGAGAGGTGGAGACTAGAAATACACATTTTCATAAGTTGTAGGGCGAGATGACTATCACTTTGCAGGACGTAGTGGCTATTTTGGGATTGCTTACTGAAGGGAAAGTAGTTATCGAACCTACAGGCTTGGATTTGGAACTAGTGTGGCTGCCAACCAAGATGGACATTATCCACTGCAGATAATATGCTTCGGTGTCGATAAAAAAAGAGACATATATTTGACTTCTAGGTGATATGCATACAAATATTAGCGAGAAAATATGACCAAGCTTCCAAGGTCTCGCCTTCAACAACGGCAAATGAAAGTGCAATAGTTCATTATTTCCATCCTCAGTTGTCTCAATCAATAATTTTCCTTTGTACTTGCCTTATAAATAATGCCATCAATTTGGATTACTTAACAGTTTGCAAAAATTGAATGCCTCACAACACTGTCTAAATGTCCAAAAAATGCGATGAAAGACACGTTTTCCATGACTAGTAGATGATGGACAACATTATTATTTGTTTGATGATGAGAAACAGAACCTGGCGAGAAGCGGAGCATGTATTCACACACCTCGGCAAAAATGCATAAGATATTTTCCAATTACCATAGATTGTTGCAATTGGTTTCTGTATCGTACACCATGTCTTTCTATAAGAGTATTTGAACCCATAATGATTAGTGATCTCATCTCTTGAATTAGTGCAATTGACATAAATAGTTCCTCCTTTATCATCCTTATCAATCAAAATTTCAAGTATACGTCAAGACAAACACTAATACCACACTTTTTTAATGTATAAGAAAAATCTATAAGAGCATACCTAGTATAAGTGAAGCAATAAGATCAGAATCGAGTTGTCTCTGATCTTGGAAAATATGGTCATTCAAGCAATTGTGATCTCCACCTCTTTTTGTAATTATACACATTTCATGATACTTCGATTTCATTGCCCTAACCCTCCACAGGCAACCATCCTCATGGGCACGATATTTCTAGCTTAACTTTGTAGGCATACTCTCAACCATAAGAGTTATGGAGAGGAAATGAGTTTATATAGGGAAAGAGGGAGGTGATGGATTGTGTAGATCAAGTCAAGTGGCATCATCGTGTGTGTTGCGCCCAAAATGGGACGTAATAATGGGCTAGTTGCGCCTAAAAACAAGCATGAATGGGGGCCAGTCGAGCCCCTTTTAGGCACGACCAGTTACGCCCAAAATGAGGCACGATTGGCCCCTATTCGTGCTTGCTTTTGGGCTTGACTAGCCTAGTATTGTGAGTCATTTTGGACGCAACTGGTTGCTACACATTCGTAAATAGATTTCAAATTTTTATAATGTTGTATTTATTTATTTAAAATGCAATATTTTAATTTTTTTTGCGTATAAAATTTGTAAGCAATAGATAAATTCTTTATTTATTTATTTTCTCCAATTTTTATCCACAAAACTAATGGATTTAACAGGAGTTATTTAATTAAACTCATTGATAGTGTTTTTTAATATGTGATTAATTGAGTTTAAATTTGATATATTATAATGAAAATTTTATACTATCATGCAATAAAGTATTAATGCTTCATTAAAAATATTTATTTTGGTAAATAGTGATTAAGATGGTAAAACTTTCATGATTTGATATTATATAATTGAATGATAATATGAAAATTTTACATTAACATTCCAACAAATTAATTCCTGTCAAATTTTAAGGTGACAAATTTGTGACGTGTAATTTTCTTTATTTGAGAAGGGCTACTAAAAAAGCAAATACTTTGAACCCTAAAGACACATAATGCAATTTCTCATAAAGTCAATGTAATTATATTTTGTTTTGTGACAAATGTTTAGGATAGGCAAAATTGCCCAATTCTAAGGACATAACATGCTCAAATATTTGTATAAAAAAAAAGCTCAAATATCAATAAATCCTTATAACTATATTTATAAATTATTTACTAATACAAGATGGCCGGTAAAAGTTAACGGGTTTTATAAGAGTTATGTTATAGGAAAAGTGATTGTGTAATGTTATAGAGATTCGTTTTGCGTGCCGTAGTTTTTTTTTTTTGTTTCAAAAAATGTGAGCCCCACAAAATGTTGTGTATGTAAAAAACTTATGCAAACCCCAAAGTAAACATATATCTTTGTATGGGATGCAGTTGCTTGTTGGCAAAAGTTTAGATATCCTTTTACTATTGTTCTTATTAGGGATTTTTATTAACAAGTATCTTTAAGATGCCAAAGATTGAAGCCCAACAATTGACAAAGCATTGCCCAACAATTAAAATGAGAGGATAAAATTTGTGAAAATTTAATAGAAGCCCAACCTCAAGCTTTATTTTTTTTAGTACGACGAGTTCGGGTTTGAAGTAACCTTAATGATGTGGAGCGTGACCGGGTTGGGTAAAATCTCGCCTTTGAGAAGCATAAGTTGATGCGTTAATTAATTTATGACTGATATCGTTTTAGATAACAATCCAACAATAAAATGAAAATTGGCAAGACATGAGAAAGGAGAACTGGACTGTTAAGTGGCTTGACATGTATACACAAAAATTTGCAACTACATAATTCTCAAAGCTATGCAAAAATTTTCCTCATCCCCATCAGGCAAGATCAATTTCAAATGATGGAAATTTTGAAATTGGGAGGTTTAAAGTTCTTATCTCCAACATAAATGAATTAAAAACTAAAATAATTCATTTCTAAACCCCAACAAATATTTATAATACTATTCTAAGATCCCTCTAAATAATGTAACAAATTTATCACTACAAGAAAGTTATCACAACTGGGAGGGGGCACATAACCAGGTGCAAACCCTGACGGTCAACCAGCACCTCGAGAACTAACTTTGCGTAGCTGATCCCCCAATTGACTCATCCTCTATTTCTGTTATCTATGCCTTGCTTCAAGAACTGCAACCTTTTTCTGCATAAAATTCATATATTACAAAATACAACTGCACAAGTAAATAGAAGCAGGGAGGGATATTTACATAGTACCAGCAATCAACCACATCAACACTTAATTGTTGAAACTAGGACATTAACAGGTTCTGACAATTAAACCCATCTAATTAGACAGACTATCAGCAATTTGATACAGACCTTCTACTCAAATTTCTAGAAATAAGAACAATAACATAGATTCTTGGCCTGAATAATATCAGTTTTTATATATCTTTAACAAAGGCAATTCCAAGAACAGTAAACAGAGACAATTTCAGAGATAAGGAAATTACAAGGAAACAAGAAAGGAAATGACAATGCAGAAATATAAAAGATATTGTGAGACAATTCTAGAGGTCTCACTCTCTCCCAATATCCAAAAGGATTCCAAGCTTCCCAAAGATTCCAGATACCCTTACTCTTCTCCTTACTTGCTATTTAACCATCTCAACCTCCCTTTCCACGCCATTCTGTTGAAACTGATTTGCTGAGTCAGAAAAGGCTGGACCCACATTATTTTAATCCTTCCTATACATACATGATCTTGGGCCATATCGTATCAATACTTCCCCCCTTTAAGCACCTTGTCCTCAAGGTGCAGATCAACTCTTGAGAACTTTATTCCGAGATCCCATTGCTTAAATTGTAAGGCCAATGTATATCTGCAACATATTGATCTCCTCCTAGGTCCCATAGCATTTTGGAATTCGTTCCATTATCATCCTTAAACACAAGTAGAGCCAAACCACCAAATATACTAGGAACAACTTCGATTGCAGATTGCTCAACCATGCCCACATTAGAAGGGAGATCCCAACATATATACTTGAAAGTGCCTCTCTAGCAAGTGGTTTGAAAACATATCTTTTACTCTGGAATATTTTTACAAACACCTAGCGGATGCTCTTCAGAAACCAAAAACCCAAAGACAGCACAGCCAGCGTTATATGAATGATCCCAATGCCCTCTCGCGTGGAACCCTCATCGTCCTTCCAATCAATAAACGAGGACGTATCGGCACAACAAAAAAACAAAAGCTTCGGGCAATTAGAAAAAACAGTTATCCATGTTTCATGCTCGTGGACCCAAAGTATCTCACATCAGAAGTACAATTTCCTGCCAACTGCTCCAGGTTAGGAAACAACGAGGTGACGGTTTTGTTTTCGTAAAATGTGAAGCTCCTTATGAATGAATTTGTTAGTAAGGTGATGTTACGATCAACCCTTGATGGGTTTAAAGCAGGTGTTTTGGGGCTAATTGAATCAATCAGCACCTTGGGCTTTCCATCCCAATCCTCAAGTATCTTACGGGCGGGATTGAAGATAGTTTGGGTCAGGCTTATTGGATCAGTAAAATGGACCAATGGGTCTATGTCCAATCCAATGGGCTTACTTAAAATTCCTGGTTCTTGGGTAATCCAATCCAACACATCTAGTTGCTGTCCATATTCTTTAACTTCACTTATCTCAAGTAGATTCATGGGCTCACAAGCCCAGTCTTTCAACAAAACAAAATCATATAGAGAAAAATCACGTAGTTGGGCTAGAAACGACAACACCTCAATTTGGGCCGATCTAAAATTTGATCCAACTCCCTTTCTGACCAGTTCCTTCTACTTTGCCTCTCCTTGCCAACGATTTCTCACGCGGCTCTGATACGCTACCTGGGAACTTTGGAGCTTTGAAGGTTTGGATCTCCAGTGGCCATGTCTGTGGTGGGTTGGTCGTCTCCGTCAATGGCAACGGTGTCTCGTCAACCTTCACCAGCGTTTCTCCTTGATTTTTCTGGTCATCTCCCTCCTCCACTGCCACCATGTTTTCCATGATCTCTGACTTCTCCAACACACAATTTCTTGGTGGCTTCATTGCTGGTTGTGGAGGTTCTAGATCCGCCCCCATAATCACTTCTTCTTTCTCTACCTTCAACTGTTTTGTCTCCGCTTCCGAACACACAGAAGAATTGAAGGTTTCATGCTCTGATCCGGTGTCGTCGTCTTCCAAGCAAACTTCCGGTTGAAATTCCTTGAAGAAAGCTTTTAAAAATGTCCACCAACTAGCTTTTTGGTTATTCCATTTCCAGAATCAGTACCAAATACGAGCATGACCGGTGAACCGCTTCACAACTTCCTTTTGTTTTTCATGGTCTGAAATTCCATATGCCTCAAAATACTGCTCAGCCTGGATCGACCATCCCCACACATCTTCCTCACTAGAAAATATAGGAATTATGATTTTGCGAAATTGTTTTTCCATTTTTTTTTTCAAATCTCCCCAGATCAGAGAGCTCTGATACCAATTGATACAGACCTTCTACTCAAATTTCTAGAAATAAGAACAATAACATAGATTCTTGGCCTGAATAACATCAGTTTTTATATATCTTTAACAAAGGCAATTCCAAGAACAGTAAACAGAGACAATTTCAGAGATAAGGAAATTACAAGGAAACAAGAAAGGAAATGACAATGCAGAAATATAAAAGATATTGTGAGACAATTCTAGAGGTCTCACTCTCTCCCAATATCCAAAAGGATCCCAAGCTTCCCAAAGATTCCAGATACCCTCACTCTTCTCCTTCCTTGCTATTTAACCATCTCAACCTCCCTTTCCACGCCATTCTGTTGAAACTGATTTGCTGAGTCAGCAAAGGCTGGGCCCACATTATTTTAATCCTTCCTATACATACATGATCTTGGGCCAGATCGTATCACAATTAGTTCCACATCTCTAGCTATGTCCCTATGGTAACACCAGGTCCAAACCATTTGATACTCCAATAATCATTATTGATAGCAATAATTTGTTGAAAGATATTAAGAAACTGAAATTCCAAATGTAATTACAAGATCCATGGACCACACGACTATATAGCCAATAAAACCATCCTGTATGATTGATAACTAATATGACAAAAGACTTTTCATGAATTTCCATGAGAGAGATTAAAATATTTCAAAATCAACCCTGCTTCACAAAATCAACCATATTTTCATGACAAAATTATGGATGATAAACCTTACTTGGAATCAGTAAGGCGGCCATGCAAGCTCCATCTTTGGCGGAAACCTTCCATGCCCTCAACTCCACTAGCAAGAATCAGGCGCCTATACATTTGAAATGAAGGTACTTAAGACATCCAGAGATTGAAAATTTTCTACATCATATTCATATAGCGACACGTCAAATAATTAGTATGAATGCCAAAGTGAACACTCAGAGAGTTAATGTCAGCCAATAGAAATATTGAAGACCATAAGGCAATCCAAGGGCACTTATAAATTTAGTTTCAAGTGATTAATACCTAAAGAGAACCTACTTTATGCAAATTCATTGCAAATCTCAAGAAAGCAAGGTACTTAGATTGGTGACTAGTTTGGAAAAAAAAACCTTTTATCCTGAATTATTTATTTATTTATTTTTAATATTCACCTGTATTCCAAATGGGAAATAATAAGAAAAAATATTCTTCCTTAGCATCTGGGTTGCATTTAAATTCATGTTTTGGGGATAAGTCCAACTAAACTTTTGGAAGAGCAATATGCTGCTGTAGCCTGCAGCTTCCACAATATAAGAGAAATAATATGATAATGATAACAAATAATCGTGCTCACAGAAGGCCTTATCCAGAAATTTTGTGGTTTGATATCTTAGGAAAAATCCTTCCTCAGGATCTGCAATAAGCTGGCTTTACGCTCCTTCAGGATATGCTAGGCAAATAAACAATCTACACAATTTACCAAATATGGACCACATAAGGACTATTTGAATATACCTCTCCAATGATGTAACTTCTGCCTCAAGCTGGGAAGCCCTATCCTTGGCTTCATTTAAAGGCATTGATGAACCCAATTTAAATTCACTATCTTCAAGCCGCTTCCTTATCTCCTTGTCCTGCAATTTGTTTTTCTCAAAAAAGAAAAAATGAAACAGAAACAATGTTAGATCTAATAAACTGAGTTGCACTTCCTAAGTCTCTATCTCAAATTTTAACTGTGAGTAAATATTGTGCATATGTTAAGATCATTCAAAGAAAGTAAGACATGAGTTGAAGTAGTAAAATGGAGGAGAGGGAGAGAGGAGGAAGAAAGAACAAAGAAAAGAATATCTACAACAGATAACAATGATCTCACCCTTCTTTCAGCACATTGTTTATACAGAGCAATCTCATCTTGACAGAATGGTTCAATGTCATTGATTTGCAAGCCTACAAGATTTAAATGAAGCTTATAAGATGTACAGACATCTAATGTTTATACCTTTAAAACAAACAACAAAAATCATGTTACTTATCACATTTATCAGTGGACTAAACCTTGTTGAAGTTTAACAACTTAAACTCTCCAGTCAGGTCACCCAATAAATGTTGATTACAAGCCAATGTAGTTACTTAATTTTTTGTTTACATGTATTAATTCCACTATAGTAATACAAAATCCCATGAGCTGAAGTTCCTAATTCTTATTACTAAAACAACAAAGCCATTCATGTTTATCAAAACCAAAATATAAAAGCAAATCCGAAGGCTTATTTTTTGAATAGTGAATGGTAAGATACAAGTTCAATTATTAAAAATAATATAAAATATTTTTTTCACATAATAAAACTGCAAAAACAAGAATATAAATAAGTAATTCTAATTTTCTTCTACTTTTATTTCTTTTTCAAAGCACATTGATTTTCTTATATTTTCATTTCCTTACTTTTTCATGCACATTAATTATTAGGGTTTCTCCATGCCCTTCTCTCTCAATTATCTAAAACCTAGCAATGAAAAGCAATTTTGGTGACAAATTGGTTGAAGACATGCATCAAATCGCATGAAATCAGATGGTTTATAGTTTTATGCAACCACAGGAATTAAAAAAAAGAAGAAAAAAGAACAGCTACCCATGGTTAATAATAAAAGGATGGAAAAAAAAAAAAAAAGACTTACACAAAAACATATTTCTGAGAATTCCATCACACAAATCAACACCATGAAGCACATGGGAGGCAATTTCTGGTGGTACTGTAGGTGATGGAGGACCCATCATTAGATCATCACCAACCAAAATTGTTTCATCCATAGTTGGCTGTGAATCAACTGAAACCCACACATACAAGTTTATCAACGTTCATTCTCATATCTCCCTCATGTTATTTCCAAAAAAATTGAACCTTTCAATTTTGATTACAAGGTAAAGAACCAAAAACAACTTAACACAAAAATGAATATTTAAATAATAGATTGTCATCACTGAGATCACTTACCATCCATGGTTGCTTTCCAATATTCCTTCCCGCAAAAATGCAACAATTACTGAAACGAAAGTATGTAGGAATTACAGTACTGTCATATATGTAGTTTGCTACTGGTGAGTGAAGAATGCTTCTGGGTTGAACCGAACCGACCCGACCCCTGACGTAAATGGACTGGTTCGGGGATAAACCCGCGACACTTGACCCAACCGGCTCAAACCCACCTTGACTATTTGTTGAATGAATTTTTGAAGGAATTAATATAACTCATTTAAAATTAAAAGACAATAACACTTTTATTTTTTAAATTATAAAAACTAATAATCGTTATGCATTTTTTATTTGGAAAAAATATTTATCATTTTAAAAAAAGAAAGTTATGTCATTTTTAATGAAATTACGTTATTTTAATTTGTTTATACATTCTCTTTCCTTCACTGTTTTTTTCTTCCTAATTTTATATAAAAAAAAATAACAAAATATATCAAAACGACATAATTTCATTAAAAATAACACAAAGTTGTGTCATTTAAAATAATAAATATTTTTCTCATTTATTTTTATTTATTACTTTTTCTTTTTTGCTTTTAATTCAAAATGATATTTGTGATGCAAATCTCTCGAGTCTCAACTACTAGAAAATATTTCCAAGAATTGTATTATTTAAAATCTGAATTTCAGTCCTTTATCTGTGAGTATAATTTACATATCATGTTGGTAATTAATTTATCATTTTGAACAGCAGATAAAAAGTGAAATGAGATTTTTTTTTTATGATTTATTCTCTGAGAAACAATGGCCTTTTTTTGGTAACAACAAGTGACCGATTTTTCTTTTTTAATAGATAAAGGTGACCTATTTTGTTCTTAGCAGTTGTATTCTGAACATATATTTTTAATTTTATTTCTACACTTCGAAATAACTTCATGCAATTCTTATGGTGTTATAATGACAACAAAAGAAGGTTGAACACAATTACACATATTGTATAGAAATTAAATAAAAAAAATGAGTTTTGTTAAAAATAAAAATAAAGTTGAATATTATATATTTCTATGTAAACACCAAAAATATAGTTCAAACCACAATAATGACCAGGTTGATATGTCAGCATGAGTCATGCACCTCTGTACTCATCTCCACAATCACCAATCACTTTAAGGAGGTCCTTTCCTTTTCCTGAGGCTTCTCTTATGCTATTCACATCATCATCATCAAGAACAAGTGAAAATATAGCATTGGAGTCTTGAATATGTTCTGACAAGCCAAGTCTCACACCAAGATTTACAATAACCAAAATATATTATTTTTCTTATTTATTATTATTATTATTATTATTAATCTATTATTGAGGTTCATGGTGTCAACCTTAATTAGTTAAAGTGCTAGGCCAATTTATTATAAGATTTTAAATTAATTAGAATAGCAATTTTCTGCAGAGAAATATATCAACTTCACCTGATCTAATATATACTTCACAGCAACAGTGGGGGATCGAAACACCATGTTTAGAAGCTACTTGTTTAAGAGTTCGAAGCAGTCCCTGGAACAAACTCCATCCTCCCCAAGCATCTACCATTTGCCATGTGATGCAAAGTATAGCAAAACACATGAATATAACTGTGTTAGAGATATAAACCGAAGACAAAGATTTCACCATGGCTAATATTACTAGATATAATATAAAACTATTCCCACGTACATTCTTAATTTTTGGGATAGTTTGGTTCTTAATATGACAAGGATACAAATTCAAATCCCACCCTCCTCATGTAGACTACATATTGACTAAGAGTTATTTATGATTAATAACTTCCACTCTGCTAGACCTTTTTCTTTTTACCTAAACAGTTCAGAGAGGATAGAAAATTTCTATAGAGCACCAATGAAGGTGCGGAAAGTTTCTTAAATTACCTACAAATAACTAACGGTGGTCATGAATGTCAGGTGGGTTCAGAGGGAGTTCGTGGCAGGAGACCACCATCAATGGACTAAGCTACTCCAATCATAGCAAGTGAGTCCGATACTACATTTTAACCAAAAACTTTAAAGCATTGAATTTATGGGTCGATCCTCTTATATCCACCTCACTTAACTCATTACCAACTAATATGAGATTCATTATACTTGAATAACCCAACAATGAAATCATACCTTTTTGTACTTTTGGAGTGAGGGAGTGTTTATTGCAGGACCACCAAATGGAATAGCTAAGTTGACATCAAGGAACTTCTCAGACAATAGACCACCCATTACTGTACCATATCTGCATCACAAACTGATCTACTCAGAGAAAAAAAGAAAAGAAATTGGTAGTTTTGTTTTCCTTCACTTTCATCTCATATTTGGGAGAACTATTTTCTACAGCTGAAATAGATTTTTTTTTTATAAAGGGGTACAGTATAAGTTTGACTCCTGTAAGCTCACAAAGCTCTGCCATTCTCTGTTGGGGACGAATATCAACAATTGAATGTTGCACCTGATATATACCAATAAGAACCACGTACTATCAGTTATTACTAGAAGGATTGTGATATGAGAAATTAAGCACTTGGACTTACTTGATTGCTCACAACAGGAATCTCATTTTCAAGAATAATTTGTAATCTCTCCGTATCAAAATTTGTCAGAGCCACAGTCTTGATTTTACCTCCACAGGGCTAATTGAAGTAGTTTGATCAAATAAAAAAATGTGAATTTCTTAACCATTTTTTCAGAAACAAAACCAACCTTCTTCTTTCAAGTCCGTGAGGTGTTTTAGTGCATCAATATAGCTTGGATTTGAATAATCCCACCTAAATCCATTAGAGATAGAGGATAATTGTCATAAGAATCTTAAGCTTCAGAGAATTAGAATTATCTTGCACCGTAGTTTCAGCTAGACAACGGAAACCAATTATTCATTTTAGTTATAGACTAGGAAGCAAAATGGACGAATTTTCATGTCATGGATAACATTGATGGTTTTGATTCTCCCTAAAAACTTTAAGAATTGTAAAATGTTGACATGACCCTTGATAGCCACGACTGAGAGAGATTAAATACCAATGAAACTGAAGCATGTCCAAGGAATCCACATCCATTCTCTTCCTTGAAACATTAATGTTCTCTCTTACATAGCTACTTGTCATTTTAAGTGGCGGTGGCATCCATTTAGTGAGACTGCATCAAATGATACAAATGGATAAGACAATACCTTCCCTTATGTTTTTAATCACAACTTAAAAGTATATAGTAGGATATATAATAGCCACATACATATCAATATCAATTAAACCACCAATCACGTGAATCAATTGGTAAAAGATTATTCCAGCTTAATTAGTGATATCAAGTTCGAGTCCTGGAAATAGAGAGAACTTTGTCATTCATGTAGTACTACCTAACTCGAATCAGACTAATCGAGTAATCGATCAATGCATGGATAATATTAAAAAAAAGATAAAAAATATCAAGTCGCTTAATCAACTCACCCTCTGATCTGTTCCAACAATTCTGGTGGACGCTCACGACAAACTCATTTGATGAAAATACCATACAAATCTTCAGCAAGCCCATCTGCAAACCCAAAAAAGAACAAAACAATGAAAAAACAATTCTCAAAATCTTTATGCAATGTCATTCCACACCCACCATTCATAACATCTTAACAATCACATTCCAAACTCAAAACTATTAGTCTCTATTAAGTTGCATATACATACATATATCAGCCATGTCAAAAGTGGTGAGTCCAGCATCAGCATATCTAAGCATAGCATCAACAGCATCATCTCTATCAATTCTGCCCCACCCACCACTCGTTTGCCACATCTCGTTCACAACTCGACATATATCCAATGAATCATTACCATTCTTGACCACAATGCGCTTGTTATCCTGTGTGAGCACACACTCATATGTTCTCACATGCTTCTGTTTTCGTGTTGCAACACCTCTCCTAGTTAGTGTTTCGTTTGGACTGAAAGTGAATTTGCTCAAAGAATGCCGCAATAATGACATTTCCAAACTCCCCAAATCAAATGCCTATAATAGCATTACCAGACACACAAACGAGGTAACTCCTTTTAGTAACTTTACTCTTGTTGCTCTAAATAACTAAGCAAAAATAGAGCCATTGACAAAGTGCAATGTCAGTGTTCTACGTTGCTCTCCACCATATATATATATATATATATATATATATATATATATATATATATATATATATAAAAGTAGGATCATTTGACACCGGTGTCAAATTTGAAGTTTGACACCTCATCTAAGAGCCGTTAGATCAAAAAAGATCAACGACTCTGATTTATAAGCATGTGACACCATTGATCTTTTTTGATCTAACGGCTCTCAGATGAGGTGTCAAACTTCAAATTTGACACCGGTGTCAAAGGATCCTACCTCTATATATATATATATATATATATATATATATATATATATATATGTCGGGAAATGTAATAGTTACTACTTTTTTTTCTTATTACTTGTTACTATCAAATTTTAACAGTTGATTTTCACCAATCTAATGGTTATAATTTATTAGGTCACATTTATTAATTAATTATTAATTTTAATAAATTATAACCGTTAGATTGACGGAAATCAACGGTTAAGATTTAGTAATAACAAGTAATAAGAAAAAAAAGTAGTAACTATAACATCTCCCGTATATATATATACGAGTAAGGTTATACTTACAACTTTTTTTCTTACAACCATATCTTAATACCGTTGATTTTCGACAATCAACGGTTATGATTCTCACAAATTAAACTCATTAATTCACAATAAATGATAACCGTTGATTGACGGAAATCAACGGTGTTAAGATATGATTGTAAGAGGTTGTAAAAAAAAAAGGTTGTAAGTATAACCTTCCTATATATATATATATATATATATATATATATATATATATATATATATATATATATCAGCCAGGATCCTTTGACACCGGTGTCAAATTTGAAATTTGACATTTCATCTGAGAGCCGTTAGATAAAAAAAATCAATGATGTCACATGCTTACAAATTAGAGCCATTGATCTTTTTTAATCTAATAACTCTCAGATGAGGTGTTAAACTTCAAATTTGACACTAGTGTCAAAGAATCCTGTCTCTATATATATATATATATTTGGTATGCATATATATATTTTTGGTATGCATATATATATATACTTTTATCGATTTTATTTATGTGGTTCCACTTTTTTTCTTTTTTAATATCTGAATAGGTTGCCGTTATTATTATTATTAGTATTTATCTATTTTTCGCTAGTCAAATCAAATCATGAATTTTAAATTCTAAATAAAATCTATGCCTTAAACATATTAAACTAAATATCAAATAAATATCAATTTGTTTAAATTAAAATTAAAAGGCCAAAAACTCGAGGTGAGCAATTGCATAAAAAACTGTGTTTGTGTAAAATATATTCAAAATATAAAAAGGTTCCGCGGATCTGAAGAAGTGACAAACAACTTTGTCACACAACAAACTGGAGCTCATTCGTTTTAAAAAAGAAAAGAAAAGAAAGGATTCACATGTAAATTCTAGAAGATATAAAAAAATTTGTGTTTGTGAGAGATAAAAATATTTATATCACAATTACATAAATACTTTTGCTAATATAAAATTGGGTAAAAGAAAATGGAGATAAATTATTTCCATGAGTTCAAAATAATTTTGTTTTGGGACGGAAAATAAGATATTTTTGTAATTCTAATATATTGCAAGGTTATATTAGTTTTTATCATTATAACTTTTTAAATTTATAATCTAAAACGACGTCGTTTTGGGTTCACTCGAGATAATTTTATCTCTAATGACTTTTCCCTATCAAATATGTGGAATGATTTTCTCCTAGTCACCCGGTTTTTTCAGAAACGAAAAAGCAACCATTTTTTTTTTTTTTTAATATAGATAAGCCCCACAGCTTTTTGTTTCAGCGTGAGAAACAAAGTCTCTCGAGTAACATGACAGACTTAAATCCATAAAATATATACAAAACTCTCTAAAAGGTGTGATTATCTCGATTATTTGATAACACAAAGAACATCGAATCCTCTGTGGTAACAAATAATCAATTATGCTATCCTAATATTCGACTATCATGACTAAAAACTTTAGTTTCATTGAACTCTGAGTGCATTCATTAGTAAAAATTTAGTTCCAAAGTTTTCTAATATAAATATTGAGATTAACGTTTATTCTGCAATAGGAAATAAATCATTTCCTACAATCCCAAAATGATTTTTTTTTGTGCTTGAAAAAAAGAGAGAGGATATTTTCTAAAATACCCTTCATTTTTTTTCCATAAAACCTCTCAAAATGATATCATTTTGCGTTACGTTGTTAGAGATAATTTTATTTCATGTTATTGTAAAAATACCTTTTTCATAAATATTTCATTATTTTCTGTCATAGTGGATTATTAAGCTAATTAAAGAGCAAAATTAACCTTGCTCTCACACCGTTATTGATTATTGATTTTGAATAATCGATTATTGAGTCTAAATAAAGAGTTCAATTCCCAAATTAGCTCGAAAATAATAGATTTTGAATAATCGATTATTGATAATCGTTTATCTTCGAAATTTTAAGCCTATGAGCTAATAATAATCCAGTATTACACAAGATAATGTCAATTTTCGTTCGGGAAAATATTTTCAGTCTTCTTATAAGGGGCAGGATATTGTAACAATCAATTAATGTTACTACCAATGTTACTATCAATCAATTTCACCGTTAGATCGATTATATTGATTTAAACGGTTATATTTATTTTCATCTTTAATGTGGAAACATTAAATAAATATAAGAAATTATAACCATACAAAGGTAAAAATAAATATGAAGTATTAAATATAAGGAATCATAAACATATAAGTATGAAAATAAATAAGTATGAAAATAAATATAACCGTTGGATAAACATAATCGATCTAACGATGAAATTGATTGGTAGTAACACTAATTAGTTGTTATAATATCCTTCCTCTTCTCATAATTGAGTACATTATTTATTAAAATTAAAAAAATAATATAATTTATTTTATCTATTTTATTCATTCTTTTATGATTAATAGCATCTCTTTTTCCTATTTTAATAAAATACTTATTCCTATAATCCCGAAATTATACTTATGTTCCGGACGATAATGGCATAATGCCACTATTTTTAAACTCTCCCCAATGTATCAATAAAAGCCTTTATGGGTAAACGACAAACAATGTTTGGCAACAGTACCGATCTTTAGCCCCGGAAGAATAATATTTACCTGTTAAGTCATGGACAATTTATATCAACTGTGATTCTTTTTTAAGAAAAAGTTGTAGTAAAAATGTTTTTTTTACTAAAAATAACTTATCAAGTGGCTAATTATATTCAAATAGTTATTATCGAGTAATTTTAATCAATTTGATGAACTTTGTAAGTACTTAATGGCCCATAGACTCAAAATATTCTTTGAAACCGTGTTAGAATTTGAGGAGCAATATTCTTACTACTAAAATTTTTTATTACCAACTCACTACTTATCTAATCACCATTGGATCAACATTTTCTCTTTTTTAAAAAACTTTTTAGCATTCTCTCTTTTTGATCCAATGGTGATTAGATAGATAGTAAGTTAGTAATTAAAAGTTTTAGCAGTAAGAATATCTCCCTCTTATCATTTTTATCGTTAGTTATCCATGCATTTTACGCAAAACAGAAAAAAAAAAAAAAAAGTTTACTTTTTTGCAACAGATTTTAAATGGAGTTTGGCGCTAGTAGATTTATTGAAGACAACGAAAAATGATGTAAGCAAATCAATGTTCTGGAGTTAGTACTGATTCGTATTTACCTGCATGATATATTAAAGAAAAAACTGTTAAAAGAGTGATTAAAATCATACATGTTTTGTATCCCAAAAACAAAAAATCACACTTCTTTCAAACAGCGTCATTTGGCTCTGTTTGTTTATTGTTTTCAAAAACAATTTTTTTGTTTTCAGAACAAAAAAACTCGTTTGGTAAAGCTTGTTTTGTAAAAATTGTTTTGAAAAGTATAACTGTTTTTTTGTTTTTAGAATCAAATTTAGAGAACATGTCTGAGTTGTTTTTGTTTTTTGTTTTGATTTTTAATTTTCAAAGAAAAATAAATATAGAAAACAACTATTTCCATAACTATAACAGTTTTAAGAACAAAAAAAATTAAAACACAATCAAACACAGGCCCAAATATGATTCCCTGTTTTGTTATAGTCAACTATTCTCCTGGTAGTTTAAGGACTCGTGAACAGACAATCTACACTGTACTGAACAGGGAACACCTCCCTTACATGAGTTACTTAGAAGCTGTCATAAACAAAAGGACATTAACTACTTTAGTGGGTTCAGGAAACAATTGGTGGTGCGGTATCACTTAATTTTTAGCTCAAACCTTCAGTTTCAAGAAATTAAGAAGAAAGCCACAATACAGAACCGGCAAACATCAAGTAAATTATCATCAGAAAGTCGAACAAAGGAGAACTATTATCAAATGGAAAAGTTGGCAAAAGCAAAAGAAAAAGGGCAAAACAATCATGTTTCTAAGAGAGCATCTTTTTTGGAGATTAGGCAAACGAGACACATGATTCAGCAACAACCCATAAGTTCAACACAACACATTTTTTAAAAGCAGAATTCAACAGCATATGAACTCTAGTTTGATGATTGTGAACTCCAAACTCTGATAATCCTTCGCTCCATCTGTAAATTAATTAGAGTAATCTACATATTAATATACAATACGAGCTTTTAAAATTCAATTAACAACATGCAAACTTATCATGCTCTTTATTGTTTACTTTTCATGCATTAAGTGCCCAAATGCATTTTAAGGAACTATAAGCGTGCATGGCTTCATGCAGCAATGTTCTTTCCTAAACACGTCTTCATTGCAGAAAAGAAATAATGTAGTGTACCTGAACAACGGCGTCCAACTTTTTCCTGGTATTCGTAAACTCATTTTTTACCCAGGGCAGGGTTCGAGAAAAACTGAACAGCAGAGTAAACAGAAAGACAAAAATTAGTTGGGAACTATGTAACACTTAAGACAATAACACCATATTTTCCCAATACAACATGTGTAAGTATTTGTTCAGCATTGAATGAAATGGAAGATGCATAATAATCGTCATGAATATATAGAGTTCTGAATTTAGGTACAAGTGTGTCAATCAAGCAAACCCTAAGATAGATTGACGATACAGCAAAGCATACATGACAAGGGATGCTATAAACAAGAAATAAATAGAAAGGATTGCCAAATGGAATGACAAGATGTTGACACAGTGTAGCAAAAAATGTTTACATTGTAAAACAACTCTAAGGTCTATGCTCTAATAGATAATACAATAATATAGGACTAGCTTTAACACAACTAGGATGAACCAATAATTAGAAATTAGTAATTACAATAAAAACTGTCCTCTCTTAATATTATAATCTTTACAGGTCCAATGAGAATGGCAATAAATCTAAGCACTTGTAGGATATAAATTTGCTAACTAAATGTCTTAAACAACTAAAAGCTTAGAATATATGAAAATAAGCAATAGGATTAAGACTAATAAAAATGAAATAGGACAAAAGTGGAAAACAGGTACAAGTAAAGAAAGTAATTTTCTTTTAAGAAAAGGTAAGTTGTAGAGGAATCACAGTCAGTTCTTGAATCTCTTATAACAAAGATGATATTAGACTCAGGAAAAACATATTTAATTGGCACCCATTGACATGCATGTCAATCCACACAGACACACATATATCAGTTGAATGCTGTGAGAGGTCGGATGAACTAATTTTAACCATTCATGTAATATTAAACGGTCAAGATTTGCTCCCCTCATCTCTCATGCTCTGACTTGATACGCCCCCTACACACACACATAAAAGAGTATAGCTTTTCTACTATTTATTGCCTAGAAGGTCTTCAGTTTTCTTCAACAAAAAAAGTTGCAAAAGATAGCAGAAATGTATCATATAGAGACAAAAGATCAAAAACTGGATAATGTGGACAGGGCATTTACTTTTTTTTGTGCTCCGCATCACAAGCTTTAATGAGATCGGAACATGCAAGCCTCATATGCTCTGCACCAATGCTGTAACATCAACTACAAATATAAGATATAACTTTAAATGCTGATGTCATATCAAGCTTAGACTCTTCTCCATAAAAAAAAAAAAAAGCAATACAAATATAACAGATTTTAGCATCATAGGCACTTTTTCAAGTTCTCATTAGAGCTTTCCAAACTAATGCAAACAACCTCTTATAAAAAGAATACAAACAATTGAAAACATGTCAACAAAAATACAATGAGAAAGATTTGAGCTTAAAGGTTGCTACTAGAAATATGCTCATATGCCCCACAAAGAGAGATTTATATTGCTCCCCAGTGCTGTATCATATTAAGTAGTTGAAAACATGTCTATAAGGATATAGAAAGACATATTCAAGCTTATTCCCACTGTTAGATATAAAAATTATTTATGAGGCTTCACCTATCAACTTAAAATTTTAGGAGAGTTGTCTTTGACATGAAGATATTAGAGCCCCTATGACCAAGTGATCAACAGTTCAATCCTTAGAGCCTACGTTCTTTTAAATAAAGTTGATTTTCAGCACATGATAAAAAAAAGTCTGTGCATCGTCTATGTTTAAAGACCAAAGGGTTCTTGTGTTCAGAGGTGTGCTAGATTAGATATAAAAACCATTCATGATCCTTCACCAAATTGCTTAAGCTTTTAGGATATGCTTGGCACTCACGAATACTCATTCTAATATATACATAATTAAAAACAATAAAACATGTGTAAAGTGAAATGTTTCGTGTTTTGAAAAATGCACAGCTTTTGCTTGTTAACAACCTGGGGTCTATACTTGTGCGATCATGCCACAAACTAGGATGATTTTGTGCAAACTTGTTTACGTGTCTGTGCATGTGCTTATGCATGGGAATTGACGTCATCAAAAGGGTAATCTAACACTAAATTATACAAGTGGTTCTTATCTAAGGTTAAGTCAATGTTTTTAATTTTATTAAATACCAAAGGGAGAAATTATGGATAATTAAATGCAATAATTTTAATAGAAAACTAAGAAAATAATTAGTGGAATAAATTTCTAGCACAAAACACCAGTGGTCTTGTAAAAATATATTTAGTAGAGCAGTATTTGATGTCAACTGGTGCCAAATGAGAAACATATGCGAGCCAATTGCTTGGACTTTGTTTCTGCAGAGCTGCACCTTTAGATTGAGGTGTAAGTATAAGTTATCAAGTTCTCAAAGATTACACACATCTCTTTTAAAATTCCTACAAGACTTAATTTCTCATATAAAACTACTTGAATACGCTGTTAAGCACTATTTTATTTATTTATTTATTTATTTCTAAAAAGGACAGTCAACAGACAAGTATTTATTTTAAATGTTTATTAACCCAACAAAATAAAGCATGATAAACATATTTCTCATTACTATCCACATCATGTAACATTACAAAGGTATCTAACAGGATTTTTATATTAATTAACCACAAAGTGTTGCCACAAAAGTATATAAGCTATTTTTTAATTTCTAGTGCATTTAAATTTCTGTTTTGCATTTCTAGAAAATATAATGAATTATGTTTATTTATAATACCTTCACATTTATGAGAACATGCAACCGTTTATCATGTGCTTGAAAAAGATAAAGCATAAATAATATCTTGTTCGTCAGCTGGTCAAAAGCTTGAATAACAGGACTACAACTCTACGCATATTCATGATGCAATCAATGATGAACATATTAAACCAAATAGTAAAACAAAATAGTCTCTATGCAAACAAACAAAAGAGGTAAGGTAACAGGCGGCAAAAAGAGACAACCAATGGTACACACTATGAGAAAAAAAGGGAAATGGAAGAATGTTGATTTGCTGGATGGATATGGAACATCAGCTGTACGGACTCCAAACAGTTTTTTTTTTTTCTTCTTCAGTACTAGACCTTGCTAGGGCCTAGGGGATGCCCCACCAGTAGGGGGTCTAGGGAAGGGGAGGGGAACACAAGGATTTCGTACTGGGAACTTGTAAGCAAATGTCCTAACCAAGTAACTAGGCTCACGGGACACTCTTAACGCTGTTCTATCTAGCATAATTTAACTTGGTATTCTGAAACTTTTTTAGGGCTATTAAAACAATTCTTAGGCCATTGATGAACAGCTCAAGCTTTTAGGTCAAGATTTCTTTTGACAAAATTATCATGATTATCTAAAAGGAAAAAAACATATGAAGTTAAAGGTAAGGGAACTATTGAGTTTCAGCAATACATTTCTCCCCCTCTTAGCCAGTTCCCTTATCCTCTTTATCAAAGAAATGAGTGCTTCACAAATTTCTCTATTATTTAACCAATCATTGTTAGAGACTAAATGCCCATCTCCAATCAACATCAACCACACCTTTATCCCAAACTACTTGTGGTCGATAAATGCCCATCTCCAATCAAGGAAAAATAATCGAAGTATCTAGATGCATAATGCCTAAATAAACATTCCAATTTAAGACCCAACATAATTGTAATAGATGGACATTGCAATCTACCTTGTGCTTTTATCCTCTATTTCACGAGCTAGGGAAGCCAACTTAGCGAAGTCAACTTTTAAAGTATCACTGTAGATACAGAAATACTGGTCAGAAAAGCTAGTTAGATAATCAGTTTGAAAATACAAAACCATGAAATAGCAGCAGCATTACACATGAAGAGAAAGCTCAGAAAGGATCATGCCAACATCTGCAAAATAAGTTTCTATTAGCCGCACAACACTATCCGGTTCCGTATTGTTTCTCAGATACACCATGTCATTAAACTTATCATTCACTAACCCCTGCAAGTAATGGCAAGAAAAAACACAGTCAAACATTTGAACATTCTTTCACAACAGTGATTTAAAATCAGAATAACTGCTATACCATAACAAGATTATATTCATGTACAACTCAAATGCAAAACACAGATAAACAAATTGAATTTCCGCAACTAGATGTTGATGCTAGCTTTCCAAAGAGAAAAAAATATTGAAATAATTCAGAGGAAGATCATTAGAATGTAATTTGAATTTTAGGATACTGAGACAAGCTGCAAGTCACATCATCTACGAGCAGGTCTTAAGGTCATCCTAAAAATAAACAAACTAGGGAAGAAAGATAGAATTTTGAATTTTGAAAAGGGATTAGGGTCATCCTCACCCTAGAGAGATCCCTAGCAAATAATCAAACACAAATGAAAATTAAATCACTTGCAAAGGAATTTTTTTACCTCTTGAAGCAAGGATTTCAAGTATTCTTGCAAGAGTCCTTTTAGAATTGGCAAAGTCATTTTTTACAAGAAGAAAGATAGCTTCAATAGAGAAGCAAAGCTGGATGGATGATTTAAGGCTTTGGTTGGAAGAGGCAAGCAAAAACTGTCAAAAAGATGAGCTGAATGAATAGAGACAGAAACTCTGTCTGTTAACCCTAAAGTCAGCAGAAATTCTTCAGAAATATCAGTTACCCCTAAAGCACAGATTTCAGTAAAAAAGTAAAAATAAAAAACCCTTTTCCTTTTGCTATGTCCTTGTAACTTATGAACTATGAAGTGAGCCCTTCCCTCTTCTCTTCCAGAATAATTCTAAGAAAAGGCAAGGTTTATTTAACTAGTCAAGTTCCGTTGCTTATTTGTAAGTTATAATGTAATGGTCATTAGAATATGCCAGGTCAGTACAGTTGTACTTTTATGAAAAGCATAGTGAAGTATACTGAGGAAATTTCAATGATTTTTTGTTTAAGGTTTTGAAATTAGCCACATAAATTGCAATCTTATGGATTCTGCCAATCATTCTACTTTAAAAAGATTGACACTGAAAAAATTAAGTGGTTAAAGTGTTAAGCCATTTATTGACTTAATTAACAACTGGAGTGATCAATGTTCTTATATTGGAAACTTTAATGACAGAATTTCCTAGATTGAATTTCTCCCTGAATTTAAAAGCAGATTCACATGTATGTCAAGATTGTCATTCTCAAATGCACTGATGAAGGAAAAGGTAATCGTTATTTCAAAATAATTTTCCTTCTAATCTTATATTAAATTAGAGACTTTCCTTTAATAGGAATTTTCTTTAAAGGAATTCTTCCATATTTATAAAATTAACAATTTCAATTTAATTCTCTACTTCTTTTGGATTGACATTTCTTTCTCTTCTTGCGGGAGAAATACTCAAGAAGGACAAGGTATAAACAATTGTAAACTCATAACAGATAATAATATACAGTTACTTTGATGTGCTATGTCAGATTGAAATTGGGGAACTAAATGGAAAGAAAAGAAGACACTGAAATTTATTCTTGAAAATATTCATTTTTATTAGTTTAATAGAAAAAGAAATCTTATAACAGAGAAACAACAACTAGGGGGAAGATAAGATATTCTCTACAACAAAGAAGGTGAAAGGCAACATAGAACCAAAAAAAATCAACAATGAATAAGCTTTCCAGTCCCTCTGCATATCAAGAATAAAAACTTCCTCAAAACAACCATGATAAAGCCCTGAAGAGAAGCTGTAAACAAAATCCTCTTCTATAACATATCTCTGTGCTCTTCAGACGTGGGAATATATTGCTACCAAATGTATCATAGAGCTACACAATCCTCAAATTGCCACAAAATTTTCGCCTGCTTCTTTTCATAAACCTTTAAAACATATAATGAGAAACTGCTCAAAAGTAAAAGGACACACTCAATATTCACTGTGCACCAAACAAATTACTCCGAAGGAAAGTAGCCACAAATCAATGAGACAAGACACAAAAAAATTGTATTATTTTGTCCCACTGTAAAAAGGGAAAAAACAGAAAAAGAAGTGAAAGTGAAATTGTACACGATCCAAACCAAACCGTTATATAATTGGCTAATAGTCCTAGGTTTGAATGCAAATGCTATTTGAATATATATAAAAAAAAAATTAGTTTCTTTCATCTCACTTATCTCACCAATGAAGGAGATAAAATCATCTTTTTTTAATTTTTCACTCCTCCATCACTCAAACATGCAATCAACAATGAATGAAAATTAAATTGCCGCACTCCTCTTACCTTTTTATCCCCTTCTCCATTTTGATTTCTTTCTTTTATCCTGTTAAAAAGAGTTTAATATTTTCAAACAGTCCAGGAAAGACATCAGAGGCAGTGTGCTTAAACCTCTGACTTTATTTTTCCACTTCAATGGCTTACAGAGTTCATCTTGAGAGATCAGGACCACCCCATCCCTCACCTTCTTATCCCTCTCTCCAAGTTTATTTCTTTCTTTTATGTTGTTAAGTAAAGTTTAATGTGTTAAAAACTGTAAAGAACCAATTCAACCCAAAAGGTTAAGATGTTAGGTGAGGGCCTCTTTAATGGTTTATATTATACTCTAACACGCCCCCTCACACGAGAGTCCACTGGGCTTGAAGGGTGGATAATGCACAAACCCACCTACCTGTGTTAAGAAAATTTCACAAGAGAAAGTGGGGGGCGCTGAGGATTGAACTCGGGACACGAGGCTCTGATACCATGTAAAGAACCAATTCAACCCAAAAACTTAAGCTGTTAGGCGAGGGTCTCTTTAATGGTTTATATTATACTAACAAAAACTAATAACTTGTCAGTTGTCACTATTATAAGTTTACAAGCCTGCTTTTGACTATATATAATTCAAAGGAAATTATATAAATTATTAAAATTTGTTAAAAAAGATTGCCCAAACTAATACTCAGTATTGCCAACTGTAGGTTGCAATCCCTAATTCTTATGACCTATAAGATAATCTTATTAAAAAGCTTTCAAGTGGAAAACACAAATACTGTAAGTGTGCATACAGGGGAATCTAGCAGCATGAAAAAACACATACATTATAATTGAAAGAAAAGGATTGTATATTATTGAATTGTATCAATAACTGTACAAGATATCTCTATTTAAAGAGACTAAAAGACCTAATAGGCTAAGCTCAAAGATGGTTTCAGAGAAATCTAGCTAATACAAATAATAATCAAATAATTCTACTATTTACAACATTAATTCTAATATTTACAACGCTCGCCCTCAAGCTGAGGAATGAATATTTATCATTCTCAGCTTGTTAGTAAGCTCTTGAAACCTATCATTAGGAAGACCCTTAGTTAAGACATCAGTAAATTGACGACCAGAAGGAATATATGAAGTAGTGATCAGTCCACTATCTAGTTTCTCTTTGATGAAGTGGCGGTTAATCTCAATGTTTGGTTTGATCATCTTGGACTGAATTGTGGGCTATTCAGATAGCTGACTTGTTATCAAAGAGTAACTTCATATATCCTTCATATCTCTCACCTTGAGATCATCAAAAATGATTTTCAGCCATAATAACTCACAGATACCTTGAGCCATTGCCTGAAATTAGCAACCACATTTTGTTTTTTACTTCTCCATGTTATTAGATTTCCACAGAGAAACATACATTGACAATAGCCCGAAGTAGACCGTCGATCAGTCACGGATCCAGCATAATCGGCATCTGTATAAACTTCTAAGGATAAGTTTCCTCCTCTCTGGATTAATAGTCCTCTGCCTGGTGTGCCTTTTAGATATTGGAGAATCATGTCCACAGCTCGCAAGTGTTTCTCCCTTGGATTATGCATGAATTGACTAACAATATTAACTGCATAAGCTAGATCAGGTCTAATATGAGCCAGATATATCAATCTTCCCACTATTTGTTGATACTGTCCTTTGTTTGTCAACTGGAGGACTCTCATTTTCACTTCCTAATTTTGTGATTCTGCTCAATTGGAGTATTGGAAGGTTTACAACCAAGTTTTCCTGTTCTGGTATCATGTAAAGAACTAATTCAACCCAAAAGCTTAAGCTGATGAGTGAGGCTACATTAATGGTTTTATATATTTCTAACACGCCCCCTCACAAGAGAGCCAATTGGGCTTGAAAGGTAGATGATGTATCAGGCCCAGCCTACCTGTGCTAAGAAATTCCACGAAAAAAATGGAGGGCGGCGAGGATCGAACCCGGGACACTGAGGCTCTGATACCATGTTGAAAGAAAAAGATTGTATATTATTGAATTGTAACAATAACTGTACAAGAGATCTCTATTTAAAAAGACTAAAAGACCTAATGGCCCAGAGATGCTTCTAGAGAAATCTAGCTAATACAAATAATAATCAAATAACTCTAATATTTACAACAATTATCATTATTTTTATATTCTTACCTTATTTATAGATTTCAGAAATCTTCTCAATAATTTCTTGAGGTTCACCTAGCAAAAAGGCTACTGATAAGAAATAGCTCAAACTTCAATAATATGTACAAAAAGAATTCATTTAAGCTACTGCGAAAAATAGTATTCATCGCCAAAAAAAAAATTATCTGTAGAAACTATTATCTACTCATATACATTTCATTAAACATCAAACTGAAACTATATTTATGATAAGCACAAGTCAAATATTTATGTCAACAACAGAAATGTTGATTAACTTAATTGGTAAGTTGAAAAAATATATATTCTTTTGCAAAAATGACAACAATTTGGAAATTAAAATATTACTCTCCAAAACAGTCTTTCTGGACACCATCCTCCAACTTCACTAAAACTTGCAACCATAATGGTTAACTGAAAGATAAAAATGAAAATAAATAACACTTCCACATATTTAAAAGATAGTACAAAGTAGCAACAAGTGCAGAGCAAAACAGGGCATGTGATTCAGACGCCCTAAAATCAATAATTTTGTCAAGCAGATAAACTGTACATTGAAGATATCATAAAATTTAATCAAACAGGGAATGACTAATCTTAGTAAAAAAGGGAACCTTCAAGAAAAGCTCCATGGCAGACGATGCAACACTTCAAAAAGCATGTCTACATTTTGAATCTTGATTTTCCAGGTTGTGGCTAGCATCAGTGTTACCGTTCATGCTTCTCCATTGAAATTAACAGCAAAGAGACCAGTGACCTTACATCAATTACCAACCATTACTCTTTGAGAGAAGGGATAGGAAAAGAGAAAGAACAGCATAACGTATGACTATTAAAACCAAAATGCTAGTAAAATTGTTCGCAAGAGATGTAGCAGCTACTGAGATAAACACAGAAAGAAAAATGACTAAGGTATACAATCAAGTATAAAAACTAAGCTAGACATGATAAATCCCAAAAAACCTTTCTTTTTTTTGGTTATTTGTAACCAGTTTGGTAACTTAAATTTATTCACACCACATGCACAAAAGGAATTTTTTTTTGACAAGGCAAGGCATATTTATAATTTTTATAGCATAGATTCCAATACCAACGCGTATGCATGGCCATGACAAACTATATGCACATCGTAGCTCAGGAGGGAACAAGCATGCATGTAGACAAAAAGACCAAAATCTTAGAAAGGAAATTAAAATTTCTTGATGGATCTTATTTTTAAAACTGAACTTGCTTACACAATCTACTGAGTTGTGAATTTGTTAAAATCATAGTCATAATGAACAGGAAGCTTCCGATCACATATCACCATCTCATCCACCACAACAATCCTCATGCTCATACATTATTGAGCCAAGTTTTCATATCTTCAAAACTACAGAAATATTTCTTTTTTGGATAAGAGTATAGACAAAAGCTAAAAAATAGACAGAAGATTATGGAACCCTAAGGTCATAAATTACTCCATCAGGTGTTATGAGTTCATTTCAATAGCAGATTATAATATATTTAGGTCCAAAATCAATACCTTTGTTCATTACTATCAATAACTTATGATGCCCCCACGATTTTAATTTTGCAATTAAGTCAATTAATACATAGGCCATTAATAAACTATCCAACCTGGTTTCACAAGTTCATTTTAATCCAATACTCAGCAGACTGTTGGAGACTATTAAGAAGGGCCTAAATAAAATGGGACTTCATAAGTATATGATACATGATCAAGTACGATGGAACGTGATAGAATCCATGTAGCCTACCCCACTTGGTGGGAATAAGGCATGGTTGTTATTTGTTTGTTTATTTCAATTTTGTCATAATGGTATAAAATTTATCCACCAGGAAAGACTCACTTAAAGCGAAGTTACGTGTTATCCGGTGGTCCTTGCATATAGTTCACGAGCAAGAACATGAACATTCTGAAAATCAACCTTTTGCTGGTAGCTGCAGATCAGAACATGGTATCATAATTAGAGACAACAAAGCCAAAGAAGGTTCCTCCTACCCGTAAAAACATAAACTTAGAAAGTGAACAACAAATTGAAGGCAAGTCAGAGTAAATTGTAACATTACATTTGATCCGTGAGAGCAGAGAACAAACTAACACAAGAAACACAGAAGCCAGTGACTGCTCTCAGAACATAATCTCGTCGAATAGCCTCCTTCATGGATTGCAGTTAATAGAATCGGTCATTAAAAATCCCCCGAAACATTAATAACTACTTACTATTCCAAGATCTTCACAGAAAACTATGAACTCGTGGATTTGAAATTAAAGCCGAATCAGGTCTAGCAAATGCGAAATATCAGAGGGTAAATACGAAACGAAATAGAATATGGAAGTGACTGATGAGTAAGCACGCATACCTCATCATACATGCACTGGATGAAGCTGCGAATGCGGTTTTTCTGAGCAGTGAAGTGACAACAATTTGAGGAAGCATACATAGAGATAAGAGAGAGAGAGAGAGAGAGAGAGTGGGAAAAGGAAGAAGCAGAAAATGAAAGGTTTTGACTTAAATTAAATTCGTTGGGTGGGTGGCATTCTGATTTTGCGGTAAAACTCTAATTTGTTCATAATTTTTTTTATAATATTTCGGTCAATTAAATAATTTTAATTTTAATTTTTTCAGAATTTTTTTTTTATCATACTCTATTTTCAGAAAAAAAAATTAATCTACCAAATACCCCGATAACATATCATTGCAAAACTTCACATGTATGTAGTGAGTAGGAAAATAGGCATAAAAAAATGAAAAAAAGCGTTTGTATTTTTAAAAACATTTGTGATTTTAGATTTTAATCGTTGATTTTCGTCGATTAACAATTATGATTTATTGGATTTTATTACAAATTAATAATTAATTAATAAATTTGATCCGATAAATCCTAATCGTTGATTAACATAAATCAACAATTAGGATCTAAAATGACAAAATTATATCCTTTTAAAAGAACAAATATTTTTTCTAAAAAAAATATTGGGTACTTATCCCGAAAACTTAATATAGGAGGTTATATTTAAGGTGGAGTCGGTTATATTTATTATCATTTATTATTTTTAACTACTTGATTAATTATTATTGATTAATTTAAAATTAATGATTAAAAAATGAATTTTGTTTAATTATTATTAATTTTAAATTGATTCAACGGTAACCAATCAGATATCAAAAGTAATAAAACTAAAATGATATTAAGTATAACATTTCACTATATTTATTAGATAGATTATTCTATTTATCTTTTTTTAATATGTATTTTACCTATCACTTTCCAACGTTACTAGATAAGAATAATATAAAGTAGGTTGGTTGAAATTCTGATCTAATAGTATTAGAAAGTGATAAGTCAGGTTGGAATGAAAAAATATAATTAAAATAACCTATCTCATATTTATTATCTCTTACCATTATTATTATTATTATTTAGTACAGTTTCCATTATTATTTTTAATTAATGAATTAAAATAAAATGATATCAAATAAGAATTATTAATTTAATTTTGATCTAGTAATTATAAGAAAAAACAAATGGTAAATATAATCTTTTTCAATTAATATAATTTTAAAATAAGCTAAAATTATAAAAATATTTTCCCCTAAATTTAAAACAATGTCACTTTGAAAGAGGAGCGATATTTGTGTGCTCCCGACGCAAAAAAAAAAAAAAAAAAAAAATGGTGGGGCAGAGGTAAGAGAAAGAGAGGAGAGAGAAAAAAAATTGATCCGGGTGTCAATTTTTTAGTAAAAGGGCCATGGTAGTCCTTAACCATATTTAAAAATTCCTTGAAAGAGAGGGTTGATTCACCATATTAAAAAGTTTTAATCTTGGTTTAATTATTTGCTAGAGATGTGTCTAGTTCCTAATTTCACTTTCGGGAATAATTTGATAATCCTATAAAAAAAATGCACCCTAAAGAGTGAGTAAAGGAAATTGTACCCTGCCATTTGTCATTGATAATGACATGAGTGCTAATTTTCAAATTTCAGTGGCTAATATTTGAAATATTCTTGCTAAATTTAGGGTTAACTATGTTGGATTTGCTCTTTTACTAAAGCCCAAATGGGTTATTAGTTTGAGAAGAGCCGAACCTAGAGCCCAATGAGCTAGGGTTTCTTGGAACCCATATAAATAGTACCTCTTAAGTCATCAGCCTCCAAGGTCTTTCTCGATTTGTGAGAAAGAGGCAAGCTCAGAATCTAATCAGTGCCCACACACTTCCCCTTCCTCCTCGAGAGATAGTTTGGAAGATCTGCCACAGTCCAGCTTCTAGGAGGTTGTTCGTGCTGCAGCGCTGAGGTGAGCTGTTCGTGAAGAGGAATCCTACAAGGGAAGATTCTACACGAGACCTGTGCACTGAGAGGTAATTGTGAAACAAGGATGATTCGGTAAGCATACTAATGTACTAGGTCCTAAACCGCTTCCGCATAAATCTAAGATTTCCTTCAATTGGAATCAGAGCCTTGGCTGTACATTGGTATGTGAATCTAGTTTCACTATTCATGTAATTAGTTTTGCTTCTTGAAATGTGGCACGTAGGGTTCTAGGATTATGGTATGAATCTAGCATGTGTATTTTATAATTCATTTTCATAAAAGTTTAAATTTTAATCGGTAAAAATGCTTTAATCCATGGTTAGGGTCTCTCGTGTATTTCTCGATTTGTAACAAGGAGGCTAATCCCATATGATTAGGTTTCCTCCTTGCTGTTTTTGTTTATTTTTGGAATTTCTGTGTATTTTTTCAATATTTTGTAAAAGTTCAAGATCGAGAAATCGAGAGGAAGATGCGCAGTCAGCACTGTCGGAGACTTTTCGAGGACTTACCGATCTCGGAATGGGACGATCTATATATGGTTGGAAAGAGGACGGAAAGAGTAACGCAACGGTGGATGGATCACCGCCATCGGAGACTTCACGCTCCACCACGCGCCTCCACAAGAGGCTGAGAGTGGCCGCCACTCTCCGGCAAAGAATGGGAGAGTGAGGGAGCGTCCGGCCACCTTTTTGGGTGGTTCTGGCGGCGGAGCACTCGTCTCTACGTGGCGGTCCTTCCCCTGGAGTTTCAGCCTGATTTGACTTTGGGTGACGGTGCAGCAGACCTGACGGCTAGGGTTCCTCTTTCACGTCCTAGGGTTTCTCGCCAAAGGATTGGGTCTTTGGGCTTTTGGGCCCATGAAACCCTAAAGGGGCTTGAGACAGATACTATGGGCTAGGCGAAAGTCGAATTCCAAAGTTATTATTATTATTTAATTTTATTTTCTTTAAAATAGGAAGGCCATGGATTAAAGTAATTATGATTTATTATTTAATGCTTTTATTGATTGGTATAAATTATATGATTGATAACATGCTTTATTGCGATAACATGCCATATAGAATAGGTGGTGCCATATTGTTGCATAACTTGTATGATTGCATGAGCATAATAGCTATTATGTCTTCAGCGACTAGTATGATAGTTATTATGGGATTATTTTGATTTTAAATCATCCTAATAAATTAATTAATAATTATTATGATTTTTATTAAAAATCTAGATTAATAATTGAATTAATTAATTTTGGATAATTAACATCAAGACAAATAATCGTTATGGAAATTATTTTGATTTTAAATCATCCTAAGAAATTAATTAATAATTATTATGATTTTTATTAAAAATCTAGATTAATAATTGAATTAATTAATTTTGGATAATTAACATCAAGACAAATAATCGTTATAGAAATTATTTTGATTTCAAATTATCCTCATAAATGATAATTATTATGATTGTTGCAATCTAGATTAATAATTAAGTCAGCTATTTGGATGATTTAAATCTAGAAAAATAATTAGAGAAAATTTCCTAAGAGAATTCTTTTATTTTGCGAGTAATTTGTGGGTTTTCTGAAATGGTCATGGAATAACACACGCTGCATACAACCTTCATGTATCATGATTGTTTGGAGCACACGCTGACGTAAAGTGACCGGATTTCAGGACCTTAATGCTTTCAAAATTATGTTAAGCTTAGTGCACGTTTATCGGCGCTCTTACTTATATAGTTTTTGAAATCGAACAAAGGATACTCTCAATTAAATAATTCTTGGAAATTAGAAAATGTTGCTTATGTTGAATGGAAGGAGATTTAAATTAAGAGATTAATTTAACCTTCAAGCGCATTATAGGACCATTAATAAAATAATCATGTGAAGTCCCATCGAATAAGCATGATTGGATTTTATTAGATTGGACTTAAATATCTATGGGAGGAGATTTAAATTAAGAAATTAATTTAACCTCCAGGCGCATTGTGGGCCTATCAATAAAATAATCATGTGAGGCCCCAACGGATAAGCATGATTGGATTTTATTGGGCCTTAATAATTTCAAAATTTTAATAAAGTATTGTACGGCCCATCGTCGATAATACTAAGTTATTAAAGATAATTTTGAAATTAAACAATGAATTCGACTGGGCTTATGAAAATTCTCAAACAAAAATGTTGAATGGGTGAAGGTTTTAAAAATTAATTAATTTTAAAACCTGCGGGCTCCATTTGTGGGTTTATTAGTGAAATGGTTATCGCTGAAGCCCCATCGGATAAGGATAATCAGATTTCACTAGATTAAATCTTAATAATTTCAAAATTTTAGTAAAGTATTGTACGGCCCATCGTCGGCAATGCTTAGACACTAAGGATAATTTTGAAATTAAACAATGGTTAATTACATTCAACTTTGGTAAAATTGTTAACCCTCCCATCGAGGCTCTGGCAATGGCACTGAAGGCCCAAATAACAATTTTGGTTTTTACAAGTGACTTGCCCATCGTAAGCCTTGTAAAGATAAACTGAAGGATTGTTAACAATAAACAAGAGTAGTTATGAGAATCTACTTGCACTTCGTTTGTTTATTGCATTATTTGTTTGTAATTGTGTGCTTTATATGTTTTTCAGAAAATATCTTAGAAATGATTTTGAGTCGAAAACCTCTAGATGGTACCAACTATGAATAAGTGAAAAGCAAATTTTTTGATATTGTTCTAAAACATGGAAGCTAAAATTTGTTCTGACAATGCGAGGGCCATAGCAACCTGCAGAGGATGCGTCTTAGGAAACTAAGATGCATTTCTCAGATTAGGAAATGGCAGATATGGTAGTTCGCTGCTATATTATTGTCAGTCTTTCCAAATACTTGCAGAAGCAAGTGTACATGATTAAGAGTGGAGTAGAAATGCTTCAGACTCTTAATGACATGTTTGCTGCGTCTAGCAGCTCTGCTAGACAGAATGCAGTCGGTGCAGGTTTTGCTAAGAGTCTTGTTAAATCCAAAGGGAAACCCAAGGGTGGTAACAAGAACAAAATGACTTGGTTATCAGTTGTCAAACCAGTTGCTATGAAGAAGCCGCAAGGCAAGTTCTTCAAGTGCAGACTGAAGGGATACTGAAAGAAAAATTGCCCAGAGGTGATGAAAAGAACCTGACATGGGCATA